GGAGAGAAGCGGCACTTGGTGAAAGGCAGATCCCTGGGCCTCATCACATAATTTCTGAATCATAATGTTTGGGCGCAGGACCCAGGGGTCTGCGGCACGGGGGTTTGAGAACCAAAGAAGAGGGGAGAAACCACAGTGGTACAGTCATAGAGCCTGTTCCGAGCGCTGTCAGGTCATTTGTTTAATCCTCACAGCTCCGGTAGTATCCCCGTTTCACAGATGAGGAAACTGAGGCACGGAGAAGTTAGGGAATACGTCCCCCTGCCCTCCTACTCCAACAAGGGCTGCGTTGCTGATAATCGGCAGAACTAGAACTCCTACTCCAGTGCTCCTTGCCCCACCCCTAGCAGCTTCTTGGCCCAGGAATGGAGACAGGGTCTCCTGTGGGCCTGTATGCGTGTGGGTGCGTGTGTGCGTGTGTGTGTCCTGTTTGCATTGTTTACCGGGCAGGGCCCCGTGTGTTCCCAAGCAGGAAGCCCGGAGCAGGGGCCGCGCTGGGGGCGGGGGGTGGGGGTAGGGGAGCAGGGCTGGGAGCCAGGGGCCAGGTGTCCAAGCTGGACGCTACCCTGAGCGGCCACGTGGCAAACAGCTTTTCCATCTATGCCCTGGGTGGGGTAGGGTTTCGGGGAAGCGATTAAGAGCCTGGGTTCTGGCATCAGACAGATCCGGGTACCAGTTCAGGGTCAGTTATCATCTGTGTGACCTTGAGCTAGACACCTCGCCTCTCTGAGCCTCACCTTCCGCCTCCGTAAAACGAGGCTAATCATAGTGTCTTACCCCCAGGGTGGTGGTTAGAGGCAAAATGCCCAGAAGAGCACCAGGCACACAGGAATTTCTTTCCCTAAGTCTTCACTTGGCGACAGAACCAGATGCCAGAGGATTCTGTGTGCGTGCTTGTGCTTTTTTTTTTTTTTTTTAATGAACTATTTGTTTTCCCAAGTTGTACATTTTTCTCTCACCCACCGAAGGCTGGCAACCTAAGGCCTCCCACTGGTCCTTCTGGGATGGAGCCCAAAACCAAAATATACACCAGCTCCCACTGGGGCGAATTGCATCTGCATTGCCTGGGCTTGCCCAAGCCCCTCTGGGGACGGGTGCTGCCCCAGCTGTGTTTGCAGCCTACGGACCAGGGGGTTGGTCATCTGTGGCCCGCGGGACAGACCTAGCTCGCTGCCCGATTTTGTAAATTGGAACACGGCCACGTGCCTTCCTTGGTGTGTGGTGTAGAGCGACTTTCATGAATGGAAAAGCTGCCTCACAGACCGTGTGACCCACGTGGCCGAGACCGTTGGCTCTCTGGCCCTTTACAGAGGAGATTTGCTGATCCCGCCTCCCCAGGCCACGCGAGTTCCTTCCGTTCTTCGTCCACCTGCTGTGAGGACAGTGCTCACAATATTAAATGCTAACGTTTTTGCGTTGCTCCACGTCAGGCTCGGTGGAAGATATGTAGTTTGTCAAGACTCTCTTTGGTCTGGGTGTTATTCCCCTTTGTCAGGTGGGAACGCTGAGGCTTGGAGAGCCACACCAGAGTGACGCGGGACACCCAGCCTCTGAGTGGGGGAGCGGGGATGTGAGCCCTGGGCCTCATCACTCCCTATCCCCAACTTGTGTCTACCAGGGGGCTGAACTGGGCCTCCTAGGGGGAGCCTGGACAACACGTGGGGGCCCTGCTTTGGTCATTTTTGGTAAAAAATGTGAAGATTTGGGTCTTCCTCCTGGCTCTCCTGCTTATCAGTTGTGTGGCCTTGGGCAGGTGACCCCACCTCTCTGAGCCCCAGTAAATAGGTGGTAATAAGGGAGGGTCAAAGGAGGTCATGGGGGTGGCGGGGTAGTGAGGACAAAATTCAATGATCTGTGTAGAACCCTTAGCTTAGTACCTAGCATACAATATATATAATAAGTGCTCAGTAAGGGCACCTGTGTGGCTCAGTCCATTAAGTGTCTGCCTTCGGCTCAGGTCATGAACCCAAGGTCCTGGGATTGAGCCCCGCATGGGGCTCCCTGCCCAGCCAGGAGTCTGCTTCTCCCTCTCCCTCTGCCTGCCCCTACCCCTGCTTGTGCACACATGTTCTCTCTCTCTCTCAGATAAATAAATAAAATCTTTAAAAAATAAATAAATGCTTGGGCGCCTGGGTGGCTCAGTCGGTTAAGCAACTGCCTTTGGCTCAGGTCATGATCCCGGAGTCCCGGGATCGAGTCCCGCATCGGGCTCCCTGCTCGGCGAGGAGTCTGCTTCTCCCTCTGACCCTCCCCACTCTCATGCTCTCTCTCTCTCATTCTCTCTCTCAAATAAATAAATAAAATCTTTAAAAAAAAAATAAAATAAATAAATGCTCAATAAGTAAGAACTAATACTTTTAATGTAGGGAGCCAGCCCACCTTCTCGTCTTCCCTTTTTAAGCACCGAGAATGAGATTTTATGCTCAAGAATTATTTTTTGACCTCTTCCTCTTGCCCTGTTGGAATCTGGCTGGTTGCTGGTTTCCCTCCAGAGTGGGGCAGGCTGAGGTCTCTGATCCCCAGGGGCCTGGCCCCAGAGAACACCCGTCTCCTGTCTCCCCAGCTCTGGGGTCCGGGTGGTGAGGTCAGCAGGGCGGCTGGTAGCCATGGCAATGGAATGTTTGGGAGCTGGCGCCCACAGGGAGTTTGCAGGGCTGGTGGCTGAGTCTGCGCACAGGGGCACCGGGCCACCCTCCAAGGCCACCCTGTAAGTGCAGTCGCCTGCCTGCTTCTCTGGCATCCTGTGCTCCATCCCCCCTCCCCAGCCCGGGGAACCTCTCAGCCTGGAGAAATCACGCTGAGTTAGAAAGTTCACACGAGCCTGAACCCAGACTGGTGTGGTCTCTGTAAATGTCACCTCCTTCTGCGACACCTTATGACACGTCTCCCCCACCCCACTGTGGGCATTTCCTTCCAAGCATTTGTCACAGGCATCATTATCCCACACGCAGCTTTCCTTGCTCCCCGCCAGGATGTCAGCTCCATGAGGGCCGGGCCCTTTGTCTGCTGCCCTCCATGTGTCCCAGAGCCCCCATCAGTGCCTGGCACACAGTAGGTGTAAACGTTCGTGGAATGAATGAACGTGGGTCTAAAGGGATCTCGAACACTGGACAGCCCTCCCCCCGTCCCTCCCTTCCAGTGGTCATTCAGGGAAACCCATGGGCTGGTGCAGAGAGAGAGAGAGCAGAGTCCCTCCTGGCCTCCCCTGCTGCCCCCATTCTATGAGTCACGTGATGTGACGCCCAGGACAGCATCTTGGGGACATAGCCAGCTTTGGAAACTGATGCTTCTTCCTGCTAGATATGTGGCTTCTGCAAACCACTTCAGCTCTCTGTCTTTCAAGCTCCTCACCCATCAAATGGAGATAAAAGACCTCACCTTAAGAGGTTCTGCCCAGCATGAAATGAGAAAGGGAAAGGGCAATGGGTAAACCGCACTCGCTGTTTGCCAGGTGCTGGTCCAACATTTTCTAACTTATTTACACCTCCCAGCACCCCTAGGAGGCGAGTTCCTCGTTGGCACTGACCACACTGCAAATGCCCTATGAGTTATTGCTGTCGTCCCCATTTTACAGATGCAGGAACTGAGGTTCAGAGAGGCTCGGTGACTTGCCTGAGGTCACACAGCCAGTGGCTGGTGGAGCCACAATCCGAGCCAGCCCAAGCAGCCTGCGCCGCCCCCCCCCCCCCCCCCGCCGACTATGCGTGGCATAGAATTCAAAAAAATAAATACTAGTTGTTCTGTTATTTTATTCTAGAGAAAGGCAAGATGACAACACTCTGAAAGTATGTCTTGAGGAGAAACATGTTATCAGCAAGCACCACTCCTGGTGGCCTTTCCAGTCGTATTTCCTTCTCATCTTTTTATCTTTTTGTGGTTTGTGTTTGCTGCTTGGTTCAGCTGAGGTGGCGGTTTTGCTCTTGGGCATAATTATGCGCATCCTGCCCCCACAAGGGCCTGTGTCATCCATAAACTGGAGAACTGGGGAGGGGGACCCTCCCCACCCCACCCTGACACAAGGGGCTGTGTGAGGATGAAAAGTGGTCTGCTGCCAAGTACATAGTGGTGCTTAATCAGTGCCGCCTTTCCTCCTACAAGAGAAGGGGGGCTCAGTGACCCCCACGCCCATGCATCTCATTTGTCTTCCAAATCAGCGCCCTCCAGTAGAACTTCCTGCCAGTGATGGGAATGTTCTAGAGCGGGGGTCTACAAATTCATCCTATAAATGTCCAAACAGTAAGTATTCCAGGTTTTGCAGAATGGGTAAGGTTTTTGTTGCTGCTTCTCTCCTTTTCCCTGGCCCCCCTCCTCTTCCCCTCTTTCCTCTTCTCTTTCCCTTAAAAAAAGGTAAAATCCATTCTTTTTTTTTTGTTTCAAAGATTTTATTTATTTATTTGAGAGAGAGAGAGAACACAAGCAGGGAGGGGAGGGGCAGAGGGAGAGGGAGCAGACCCCTTGCTGAACAGGGAGGCCCGGATGATGCGGATGATGCGGATGATGCGGGGCTCCATCCCAGGACCTTGGGATCGTGAGTGAGCTAAAAGCCAGTCTTAGCTCGAGGGCTGAAGGTTGGATTTGGCCCGAGGGCCGCTGTTTGCTGACCCCATCCCAGACCTGCCCTGTCCAGCAGGGTACCCGCCCTGCTGCCCGTCGGCTACCAGGCACTTGAAATATGGTGGGTGCACACAAGGAGTTGAGTTTAAAATGTTTTTTCATTTTACTTAATTTAAATGTAAATGCCTGACAAGTGGTCTGTGCCCCCCAGTCGACAAGCAGCTCTGAAGGACTCGAGGCTGTGGCAGCCCCCACCTCCCGGCCTGTGGCTGGCAGGCCTCTCTCTGGCGCTGTGGCATTTCAAGGGCCGCCCGAGGGCAGCTGGGCCCCAGCCATCTCCTCTCTGGCCGCAGGAAGCGCTTCAAGTGCCCTGTCCCTAATTGTTTTTATTTGTTCCAAGAGGCAGGCCTCCGCTGTGGGCCACCAAGGTCCCAGGAGCATCAAGGCCTGTGTACTCTGAGGCTCAGGGGCGGGGTGGGGTAGTGCTGGTTGCTGTGGTTACACCTGGACCCCCCCTTCTCCATCTGTGTGTACTGAGAACTCGGCAGCCTGCTTTTGTGAGGGTAGACACAAAATAGAGAGGCGAGGAGTGAGCTAAGGGGGAACGAGGACAGAGAAATGCAGTAAAGGCCTTACACCTGGAGGATCTCCAACGCGACACAAAAGAAAATAATCGCGGAGATTTCTGAGTGCTCGCTATAAAAGGGTCATCGTGAGCTTTCAACAAATGACAACCCATTTTACGGAACAGGAAAACTGAGGCTCAGAGGAACAATGATTTAATGTAGTCAGGGAGTCGTCCAACCGTAGAGCTGTGTTCTGAACCACCTCCATGTCCTGGGAAGGGACCAAGAGCTCCAGACTCCGCATGTGAGTCTGTGACATGATTTCCCTCGTGGGCCTCAGTCATCCCATCTGTAACATGGAGGGAGGCGAGAACCAGACTAGAAATCCCCACCTTGAAGGGATGTACACCAGGAGCCCCTTGGTTCCACATCCGCCCCAGCTTCCTGCCAGACTCCGTCGTACTCATGGGCCCGTTCCTTTAGCGCGATGGTTAAGAGCTGGGCGTCTGGGGGCTCCTGGGTGGCTCAGTCGGTTAAGTGTCTGCCTTCGGCTCAGGTCATGATCCCGGGGTGTTGGGATCGAGTCCTGCGTCAGGCTCCCTGCTCATCGGGGAGCCTGCTTCTCCCTCTCCCTTTGCCCCTCTCCCTGCTCATGCTCTCTCTCTCTCTCTCTCAAATAAATAATTAAAATCTTGGAAAAAATGAAAAAAGAGCTGGGTGCCTGAGTCTCACAGATCTGGATGGGGATCCTGGTTCTGGAAGTCCCCTGGGTCAGTTGCTCTTCCTCTTGGGGTCTTTTTCTCTTCTTTAAAATTGGGATCCTCATACTCTCCTCCAAGGGGGACTAAATGAACAAGGCACTTATATAGTAGGCATTTGGTCGTATTTGGTGGCAGCCGTAGGACAGTGTACCACTCCGAGGGCCCCGTATTTATCCTAGGCTAGGTATGTGGTACCTACCCTTTTGGAGTTGGACAGTGTACCTGTTCAACCATACCCAGCAGCCAGTGGTGGTGATTGTTGCTTATCCTTATATTTACTTTTCCTGAAGTCCAAGGTCCTTGGCCTAAAGAAAGGGAGAACCCTGGCTGGCAGAGACCCAGGGGCTCCCTAAGGCAGCAGTGCCTTAGCTCACATTCTGAGCAGTGAGCCAAGTTCATTCCCTGTAGGACCAGGCCAGTTCAGACCCCAGCCGTGGCATCTTGGGTTCAGATGGTCTCCCCTTGCACTCCAACTCGTCCCCCAGAATACTTCCCTCCGAAATCATCGCCGGATGCCCACTGGGGAGCCTGACACCCTCCTCTGCCCCTCTGAGGGGGCCCGGCCCCTCCACAGCACCCACCCCTAATGCATCCTCTCCTTTGCCTCTGCAGGGGTCAGCTGGCAGACCGTCTTGGCGAGGGGCCACAAGGGCTGGAACCCAGCAATGAGAGTGCCCAGGGGAGGTAAGTGCCTCCAAAAGGCCCCCAGAGTCCGGGCTCCTCCAGAGACTGCCCTAGAAAGAGCCGCTCTACTCTCCCGGCTCTGTTACTGGGCAGCCACACTCCTCTGGCTGGTGGTGTCCTCTCCGGTAGAAACGCCATGCTAGACAGAGCTGGGTCGCAGCAGCATGCAGGGATGCAGGGGGCAGGGATGCAGGGGGCAGGCCTCTGCGGCTCTTCGTTTCATAGAGAGATGATCCTGGTGGTAGGAGAAGGCCGAGTCCCACAGCGGGCAGGGGACTTGGGAACAGATTCAGGGCACGGCCAGAATCCAAACCCTCTGCGTCCCGTCTGCCCAGCGCTAGGGTTTTGGTCTGCTGGCTCAGCACCTCACCCAAAATTTCCCTGAACCTCATAATAGCTCCCTGAGAGAGGGTTATTATTATGATCCCCCCACTTTTTGGAGGGGTGAAGTACCTTGTCCAAATCACCAGCTGGCAAGTGGCAGAGGCAGGATTTGAACCCGGGGCTGTAAGATGCCACGTCGGAGGCTCTCACCCACCATCCTCATTGCCAGGACACTGGGACACCTCCCTTGACAGGGTCCAGTGGGGTAGTGGAGGCAGAAGGCCTGTCCGAGTTCCCGGGCTGGGCGCTCTGGCCCCTCCGGAGTTGGGGTCCCTGGCTGTGGATGGCCAGGAAGCTGCCTTTGGCTTTGTGGGTCCCCGGCTATCTCTCTCTGCCAGGTCACCCTCCTTTTTCTTCTCAAGGTGTCCCCCAGCTCTTTGCTGTCTTCTGCTCAGGCTGACCCGTCTGCTTTGAGCTGTTTTCTTCTGATGACAGAGACAGGCCTGTGGCCTCATCCTATCTGAGGACAGCGAACAGCTCGGCCTCAGCCTGGCCAGATCCAGGCCTACCACTCCGGCCGTGCGACCCTGAGCCAGTGGCTTCTTCTCTCTGAGCTGTTGAGGGCGAGGCTTCCCTACCCCAGGGTTGGTAGAGACGGTCCCATTACATGACACATGTTTTCAAAGCTTTCGCCGTGCAAGTGCTTCATAAATGTGAAAACACAAAAATCGGGCGCCTTGTTTTAAAGTGTTATAGCCACGGGCGCCTGGGTGGCTCATTTGGTTCAGCATCTGAGTCTTGATCTCAACACAGATCTTGATCTCTGGGTCGGGAGTTCAAGCCCTGCCTTGGGCTCCACATGTGGAGCCTACTTAAAAAAAAAAAAAAAAAAATTAAGTGTTGTAGCCAAATGAATGGTCAGTATTAAGCAAACTTGGTGTGTCAATAACATTTTCCTTATTCCGCCTATCCATTCTTCCAGGCCTTTCTCCCTGATATTTAGAATCCAAACCAGTTCCAACCCCAAACATAAGCTAGAGAGTTACACACACACACGCATACACACACAAACGCGCACGCATACACACACAAGCATGTACACTGTACCTATCCTTTCTGGAAACAGCCTTCCCAAAGTACCCCTTTTCTTCCTGTCTCTGCACCCCCCCCATTGCCTTCTGTTCCCCCAAAGCTCCATTCTCTCCATCCCTGCCAAGTGTCAGGAGGAAAGGGTAATTCAAACTAAAGTGTGGTTGACTGTCCTCCAGGAGCACCGGCACTGAAATAATAAACAGAATTCTAGTCTCGAGTCTAAGAGGAGGATTTTAATGAGCACTTGAATAAGTTGATGGGTCTTTGGAGAGATTTCCAAGTAGCTTTATGTCCTGTCCAGCCTGCCTTAGCCCTGAGTAGCTCTGGAATCAGATTTCCCCATCCCAGACCCTGAATTCAGGGCACCAGGGAACCCCCACCATGATTGGCAGCATAGGACAGACGCGGTTTTCCGGGGAGAGGGTCCCAGCCATTTCCCGATGCTCAAGAGGCCAGGGACCCCAGGCTGAGATTAATCTGTGCTGTGTCAGTCACTTCTAGAACCCTCCCAGCAGCATTTGAGGTCAATGCACCCCACCCCTCTTTGCAGCCAGGAAGCTGTGGTTTACGTGGGGGAAGTGACTCTCCCAAAGCCACTTGGTCAGGAAATGCTGGGGCCTCTCAGCAGTTTGGACCCCAGGGCTGAGATTGTGCGTTGGATGTTGATTTCCTACTTGCTACGGCCCAAGGGGCTCCAGGCAGCCCAGACCTTTGCAGGTGGATCCGTGCAGCTGCAAACCGGGTCCTTCGGTGGTTTTGGCTGAACCTCATGTCCTTCGAGAAACATCGGCTCCCACTCCCTTCCCACAGACCTTGGCTGCATTTAGCTCCCCCACCGTGCTGCGTTCTTCCCCTGACTGTGCCTTCGCACTGGCTGTTCCCTTTGCCAGGAACACCTCCCTCTCTCTTCCCCACCTGGCTCTTTGAAAATCAGCCATATGCTAGTCAGACTCGGCACGAGGGCCAGCACCTGCAGGAAGCCTCCCCTCACCTACTCAGGTAGAGCCCGTCACCCCCTCCCAGGTATGGCTCCACAGAGTGGGCAGACTTGGGGGGTAGAGGCTGTGTCTCTTGGCTCCCTAGCCCAACTCCCGGCACGCAGGAAGTACTTGCTGATTGTGGGAATAAAGAAATAGCCAATGATCATGGCAGAGACCACTGATAATATCCTTTCAAATGCTCCCCACGTGCCAGGCGCGTTCCTCAGTTCTTAAGGGAGTCATGTAATGGTCGTGCCAGCCCTTTGAGGTTGATCCTCTTGGACCCATTTTATGGATGAGGCTCAGCGAGGTGAAGTGTGGTGCCCAAGCTCACACAGCCACACAGGAAGGGGAAGAGCTGGGATTTGAACCCAGGCCTGCCTGCCTCCTTGAATGCCCACAGACCTCAAGACCTCACTTTGATTCTGCAAAGACGTGGGAAAGGCAAAGGAGGGGCCTTGAGGATAAACTAGGGAGGAGGGCAGGCCTGTCATTTGAGGTGACTAGAGAAAGGGGGTGGCTGAGCTGGGTGGGCCCTGCTAACCGAAACAAGCCCCAACTTGAAGAATTGCCACTGAAGTCTGATCATCGTCCCTGGGAGGCATGAGGAATGTAGGCTCAGGCTCATAATTCATATCCTCAGTCATCCTCTGCCCCTGTCCCCACGTCACCCTCACTGTCCCGGCATCCCTGAGTCTCCCGAGGACCAGGACACCAGCAGGAGCCTCCTTCCTGACCTCCCTGCCTCCATTCTCACCCCTGTGGGCTCTCTCTCTGGGGGCTGCCCTGAGAGTAAGTCCAGCTCCCTCCCCTGTCCCCTGAGAACTTGTGTGGCTTCTGTGCCCCCCAGTTTTTTCCTCTCCCTCCCTTCTGCCTCCTGAGGTTCTTGAACACCCCCACACCCTCTCCCATCTGGGGCTCTTTGCATTCGCTGTTCCCTCTGCCTGGAGCACTCCTCCCACACATCTTCACATGGCTGGCTCCTTCTCATCCAGGACTCAGCTTGAATGCCACCTCCCCCGAGAAGCCCTCCCTGACCTCCCTCCTCCTTCCCCTACTTGATCCCTCTCACTGTGTAAGCCGTTTTTAAAACCCTGTGGCCATGGCTCGTGTACTATCGCTTCCCCCACTAGGATGCGAGCTTCTTGAGTTCAAAGGCCCTGCTGTCTTACCCACTTTCCTGTCCCCAGCACTGAGCGCGATGCCTAGCACCTTTTTTTTTTTTTTTTAAAGATTTTATTTTATTTATTTGACAGAGAGAGAGACAGCTAGAGAGGGAACACAAGCAGGGGGAGTGGGAGAGGGAGAAGCAGGCTCCCCGCCAAGCAGGGAGCCCGATGCGGGACTCGATCCCAGGACCCTGGGATCATGACCTGAGCCGAAGGCAGACGCTTAATGACTGAGCCACCCAGGCGCCCCAACCTTTTTATACTTAATACCCATTTACCGAATGAAGACCAAGTGAATGGGTAGTGATTCCAGAAGAAGCCCAGAACAGGATGGGATATTCCACACCATCTGCTGGCTAGCAGTGTGGTCCTTCAGAGTAGGCCGGCCTGGGCTGGAATTATTGGATACCAGCTCTGCTGCTCCCCAGCTGGGCATCCCTTTCCTCCTCTTTCTTTCTTTCTTTCTTTTTTTTAAGATTTTATTTACTTACTTGACAGAGAGCACAAGCAGGGGGAGTGGCAGGCAATGGGAGAGGGAGAAGCAGGTTTCCCGCCGAGCAGGGATCCCGATTCCGGACTCGATCCCAAGACCCTGGGATCATGACCTGAGCCAAAGGGAGATGCTTAACCAACTGAGCCACCCAGGTGTCCCTTTCCTCCTCTTTCTACGGCCCTCATGTCCTAGCATTTCTGGCCTCACCCTGCTCCTTCAACCAAGGCACATGCCCCAAATCCTTCCCGAGCACATGCGAGGTGCCAGGCGCTGTGCTAGGCCCTGGAGAGACAGCCACAAACAGAACATGCAAAAACCGTGCCCTTGCCAAGTGGGTATGCTGCTGAATTCGGACATTCCAGAGCATTGTTAAATGTGGAAACATTTTGAGAGTCGATTTCAGAGTAATTATGACTCTCCACCTGTCAGATGAAGCCTGCGATGGGGGTGTGTTTGGTTAGGGCCGGCGGCTCACAGGCGTCCCTCTCTCTCCCCAGATGCGAGCCCCGCTGGCCCCCCGGTGACCTGTCGCTGAAGCAGGCCCGCCACCCCAGGCCCAGCATGCGCCTGTCGGTGCGGAGGGCGCTGCTGGCGGCCGGCTGCGCGCTGGCCCTGGTGCTGGCGGTCCAGGTGGGGCAGCAGGTGCTGGAGTGCCGCGCGGTGCTGGGGGGCCCGCGCGGCGCCCGGCGGGCCATGCGGCCGGAGCAGGAGGACCTGGTGATGGTGGGCGCGGACCACGTGGAGTACCGCTACGGCAAGGCCATGCCGCTTATCTTCGTGGGCGGCGTGCCCCGCAGCGGCACCACGCTCATGCGCGCCATGCTGGACGCCCACCCCGAGGTGCGCTGCGGCGAGGAGACGCGCATCATCCCGCGCGTGCTGGCCATGCGCCAGGCCTGGTCCAAGTCCGGCCGCGAGAAGCTGCGGCTGGACGAGGCGGGCGTGACGGACGAGGTGCTGGACGCCGCCATGCAGGCGTTCATCCTGGAGGTGATCGCCAAGCACGGTGAGCCGGCGCGCGTGCTGTGCAACAAGGACCCCTTCACGCTCAAGTCCTCCGTGTACCTGTCGCGCCTGTTCCCCAACTCCAAGTTCCTGCTGATGGTGCGGGACGGCCGGGCGTCCGTGCACTCCATGATCACCCGCAAGGTCACCATCGCGGGCTTCGACCTCAGCAGCTACCGTGACTGCCTCACCAAGTGGAACAAGGCCATCGAGGTGATGTACGCCCAGTGCATGGAGGTGGGCAAGGACAAGTGCCTGCCCGTGTACTACGAGCAGCTAGTGCTGCACCCCCGGCGCTCCCTCAAGCTCATCCTGGACTTTCTGGGCATCGCCTGGAGCGACGCCGTCCTGCACCACGAGGACCTCATTGGCAAGCCCGGTGGCGTGTCCCTGTCCAAGTGAGTGGAGCCCTCGCCCTCCGCCCAGCCCCCTGGCCTGGCTCAGAGGCAGTAGGTGGGAAGAGTAGCCCTGTCTCTCTGAACTGTGTGGCCTTGGGCAAGTCACTGTGCCTCTCTGAGCCTCAGCCTTCTCTGTGGGCATGGAAAAGATCTGGGAAGACAGTGGTTAAGAGCGAGCCTTGAATTGTGCCTCCTTCCTCGTAGTTCTGTGGCACTGACCAAGTCACTGTGCCTCTGTTAGCCTCAGCTTCGTTATCTACAAAAGTGGGGCCATCGGCCCTTCCCTTTTCCGAGAGAAGCAGCAGGCTTTGAATGTGCTTTGTAGTAAGCTGTTGTGGGTAAAGGTTAACTTAAGAACACCAATCTGGAACCAGGTTGTCTGGGTTCCCATCCCAGCCCTGCCACTTCCTAGCTGTGTGACTTTGAGCAAGTGTCTCAACCTCTCTGTCCCCCATTTCCTTATCTGTAACATGAGGCTGTAGTCTATAAACCTTCTAGCTACCTATGAGCATCAAATAGGTAAATACATGTTAGGTGCTATTATTCCTGTTATTATTATTATCGTCTTAGCATTGACATGGCTTTTATTGGCACACACATTATCCTCACCCTCATTACCATGGAGTGAGTGCCTGAGGTGTGGTAAGCACTCAGTTAAACCCCCAACGCACATTATTCCTTTAGTCCCCACAGCAGCCTGAGGACATAAGAACTGCTCCTATCCCCATTTTACAGATGAAGAAACTGAGTCTCAGAGAGAAGTTACCTAAGGCCACACAGCTGGCAAAGTGTGGTGCCAGGATTTGAACCGAGGTCTGTTGGGGAGTCCAGAGCCTGTGTTCTCAAGCTCTCTACATCCGGGACCCCTCCTCTTTCCCTCCTGTCTCTCGCTCTCTGCATTCTTCCTTTGGGGAGCTGTCCTTCTCCTGAGACCCAGAGCGTGTGAGCAGTGCAGGATCAGAATATGCCGTCTCTCTGTCTCCGTTCTGATCAGGCCCAGGCACCCCTGAGATGCTGGAGCTGGGGTTTTGTAAATTATCATGACCAAAAAAAATCAGACGACTGTAGGAAGTGAAAGGAAAAACAGCCTACTATCCTACCATGCAGATGTTGAGCTAGGATGCACTGGTTCTTTGTCAGGGGCTGTGGAGAAAACCAGAGCCCTCCTGAACCCGAACATGCCTCCTTGTAACCTTTTTTCACTTTGTGTCTGGGACCACTCGCCCATGGCCCCCCGCCTGCCACCGTGACATCATTTTGGACGGCTGCGTAATATTCCACTCCGCGGAGCACAGCATTCTATTCAACATCCCCTGTTTGTGGACACATGGGTTATTTCCAGCTTGCTTTACTCCTATCAAGCATTGCTCCCATCCATGTCCTGGGATGTCTGCCTCTGTGTGATGTCTGTGTGATGTCTTTCTGTCTCACACAGTCCTGGAGATCCAGAGCGTGGAAAGGCCATGCATATATTTGAGGTGTTTGACACAGTGAACCGAGTTGAGATTTCCATCCTGGTCTGCAGACTCCAAACCCATTGCTCTTCCCACCCATCCCCACCCTTCATCCTTCCCTCTCTCTTCCCTCCCGATCCTGGCCTCTTTTTGCCACATCTTTCTTGTTTCCGTTCTTCTTCCCAATTTATCTCTTAGTTGGGATGGAAGCATCTAGAAATAGACCCTGGATCCTGGGAGTTCCCTGCCCTCCATCGTACAAGGCCTTTCACCTGTGATCGGTAGGGTCCTCGTGATTCAGATGGCTGGGTGAGCCCATCATAGGGGAGCGTGGAGAAGCACATCTGACAGGATGGTTGTTCGTTGTCGTAGCCCAGGGTGAAAGCAGTGGAAATGGCCATCTTTAGGGGCATGGGAAAAATAAGCTGTGGAGGAATGCTGCATAGCTGGAGAAAAGAATGTGGCATCGGGTACAGAACAAAGCCATAAACCAAAACGTACAGTGTATGATTTTTGCTTTAAAAACTGCAAACGAAAGTATAGGCTTTCCGTGTGTGCGTGAGTGAGAGAGAAAGCGAACACCTCCTGAGACCTCACAATGTGCCATATACCTCTCTGAGATTAACTCATTTACTCTCCAGAACAGCCTGGTGAGGTGGGTTCTATCTACAAGTCTGCATTTGTAGATGAGGACTAATGGAGGAGGCTCAGAGAGGTGAAGTAACTTTCCGAGGCCACACAGCCAGTGTGGGTCCAGCTGGCGTTTGGACCCTGGCTCCTGGGTCTGCCCTTAGCCACTCTACTGTATAAAACACAGAAAATGGATTGAGAGGGTGGACCCCCCCCCCAGATGCTAAGACGAGGTCCCTGTAGGGAGCTGCTGCTGGGAGTGGTGGCCACTCTTAGCCTTAGCATTTGTGTTTTATAATTCTTTCTCAAGAACAAAATATCCATCTTAGTCACAAAAATAAAACGTTATTTTTAAAAAGCCATGACGTCAAGGAAGCAGAATTTTCAGTGCGCACTGCCTAATACTGTCTTCTGGTTTCTCACCGCGTGCTCTTATCCCCAATGTACAGAGGAGGTATGAGGAGGCCAAGCGACTTGCCCGCAGCCTCATAGTCGAGGGGGCACAGCTGCCCCAGGGCCCGGTACCCCCAGTGTGTCCAGCTGCCCCAGGTGCCATCCGGGTCTCCCTGTGCCCTGCGCAGCCTGTTCTTTCTCCCCAGGATCGAGCGATCCACAGACCAGGTCATCAAGCCTGTGAACCTGGAAGCGCTCTCCAAGTGGACCGGCCACATCCCCGGGGATGTGGTGAGGGACATGGCCCAGATCGCCCCCATGCTGGCTCGGCTCGGCTATGATCCCTATGCAAACCCGCCCAACTATGGCAATCCTGACCCCATCGTCATCAACAACACGCACCGGGTGAGTGCGTGCGCACGCGCGGAGATGCGCTCTCGGCCTGCCCCGGGGATGGGACATGGCGAATCCTATGATCGCTTGTATTTCCATTTTCACTTGGGCCGCAAGGAAGCTCAAAACCAACTGGTATGCTGTCTCTCACACTAGAGCATCTAACAGTGGGTCCGTTTGTGTACTGATTTCAACCGGTTTCTCTGTTTCTGTTCACCCTTTGCCCACTGTGTCCCTAGCTGTCTATCTCTAAAGCTTGTCAAGTCTTTGTTGAGCCTGAGTATGAATAAACTGTTGGTCCTTTTATTGCCCCCATAAATTTTAATGTTGATTTCTCAGATAGATGTGAGCTCAGGGCAGTTTAACGTACTTTTTAAGCTCTCCTTAGTTGAGACGGTCAAGGAAAATGACTTCGATGAGATGTTTTTGAAGCGTTAAAAGTCAGCTAATCCTGCATAAAGGAACAGTCAGCAAGTTCATGGTCTTATTTACATGTTGCTGTCACAGCTTCTGGTCTCCTTTGGGTGTGGTGTTGTGACTTCCTTAGAGGCACTGAGTTAGTGAAAGTATTTGAGCATGGGGCCCAGGCCTGAGGACAACGGGCCCTGCTAGCGCTCACACCATTAAGACCCGAGTCTTAATTCCAGCTATGCCCAGCATTTCCAAACACATGCTGATTTTAGAAAGTAAACAGTTCTTTTTTTTTTTTAAGATTTTATTTATTTACTTGGGAGAGAGAGAGAAAGAGAGACAGCATGAACAAGGGATCTGACACGGGGATTGATCCCAAGACCTTGAGATCCTGACCTGAGCTGAAGGCAGATGCTTAACCGACTGAGCCACCCAGGCATCTCAGAAAGTAAACAGTTCCTATGTTGAAGAGCCAAGGAAGAAAGTTAGAACTTCTGTCACTTCCCCTTTAATTCTTCAGTGACTCAAGGAGAAAGACTCCCGTTTGGTGCTAACAAGGCTTCAACGCCTCTCCCACACGGGCAGGCTCTCTTAACCCTGAGCTTTGGGGGCTCAGCCCTTGTGATGAAAGCGGGTCTCAGCGTTTCCTCTCTCCCTTGACTGTGGATTTTGCAAATCTGTGGATTTTGCAAACATCTATTTGTGGAAATACTCAGAGATCCACTGGAAATGCGCAGGCCGTGTTGATAGTGTGAATATTCGCAACCTGGATGTGGTCTATTTTTAAGTCTTTATTATGTTTATTTTTTAAGAGTATTCTTTAGACTGTACTTAATGTGTTTCATACACTTAACTCTGCACATATGCTGTATTTCATATAATATTTATATATATTGCATATATTGCATATATCTTCATATAATAAAAAAAATCAATTAACTGGATTAAAAAGAATAAACAGCAGTTGGAAGTGATCTTGAACTCCATCCCCCAGGTGCCAGGGTGAGGACCACAGTGACAATGGGCTCTCCTTAACCCTGTGTTCTTAGCCAAGGGCCCAGCGGCAACTGCTCTGAAGTCTCTTTAAAAGGCGGAGGCCCAGGGTACCTGGGTGCCTCAGTGGGTTTAGGGACCAACTCTTGATTTCGGCTCAGGTCATGATCTCAGGGTCTTAAGATGGAGCCCCAGGTTGGGCTCTGCGCTCCGCGGGGAGTCTGCTTAAAGGTTCTCTCTCTCCCTCTCCCTCTGCCCCTCCTGCTTGCTCTCACACACTCGCTCTCTCTCAAAAAAGAATAATAATAATAATAATAATAATAATTGTAAATAAATAAAAGGCGGAGGCCCCTGGCTTTGTCCCAGGATGCCAATCAGAAGCTCCCAGAGTAAGGCCTGACCTTGTGTATTGTATACAAATTTAAACATTTTGATGCACAAGATCAACTTTCTGAGCCTCTATCTTTCATTTGTTTCAAAGGGAAGATGTCCCTGGTTTCTTCCCAGGGGCTGCCGGACCCTTGTTTCGTCTCTATGGTAGTTTTGCTATTACCGCGAAGATACGGTCCCTCATTGAAAACCGCGCATGCGTGCGTGCGTGCGGGCTTCTGCGCATGTGTGCGTGCGTCCGTGCGTGCGTCTCTGCAGATCCCACGCTGCGGGACGCTCAGGCCGAGAGAGGTACCCGTGCTAATGAACTTGTCTGCACCTGCGCTGTCCGTTACAGCTGCCCGCCACCAATCTCCTGTGGCCACAGGATGTGACTAGTGGAATCTGGTCCAAATTGAGAGGCGTTGGGTAAACTACGTTGTGTAAACTACGCGCAGGATTTTGAAGTCCTGGTAGCAAGGCAGCATGTCAACTTTCTCGTGAATCATTTTTATGTTAATTATACGTTGAAGTATGAATATTTTAGATATCTCAGGTTAGATGAAAGATAGAACTGGAATTATTTCACTTGATTCACTTTTTTGGGGTCCTTTTTTTTTTAAATATGACTACTAGACAACTTAAAATTACATAGTTGGTTCACATTACGTTCAGTCAGACCGTGCTGGTCTATATGGTGGCTTATATATGAACAGATAGTGGAAAAGCCTGGGATTTTCTTTTTTTTTTTTAAAGATTTTATTTATTTATTTGAGAGAGAGAGAGAATGAGAGAGAGCGAGTACATGAGAGGGGGGAGGGTCAGAGGGAGAAGCAGACTCCCCGCCGAGCAGGGAGCCCGATGCGGGACTCGATCCAGGCACTCCAGGATCATGACCTGAGCCGAAGGCAGTCGCTTAACCAACTGAGCCACCCAGGCGCCCAAGCCTGGGATTTTCTTTGCCTCAGCTGTGTCCTCTGCCTGGCATGCTTTTCCTTCAGAGCTCGGCTTGGCTGATTTTCCTTGTCACTGAGGGCTCGGGTCAAAGGTCACCTGTTCTGAGAGGTTCTTTGGGACCACCTCAGAAGAAGCCCTTTAGTCACTCCTGATCACATCCCTTTGTTTTATTTTCCTTATGGTACTTCCCATGGTTTGATATATTCTTGTCTGTGTTTATTACTTGGGGATCCTCTGGCTCCCCCTCTAGAATGGAGGGTCCAGGAGAAAAGGAATTTTAATTGTCTGGTCAATATTGTACCTCTAGAGCTTAGAATAATGCCTGAAATAAGAGGAGCTCAATAAATGTTGGATGGATGGATGTGTGTACGGATGGTTGGATGAATGGATGGATGGCTAGGTGATGAATGGGTAGATGGATGGATAGATGGGTGGATGGTTGGGAGAGTAGAAAGTTGGGAGAGTGGATGGATGGGTAGGTGGATGGGTGGGTGGATGGATGGTTGGATGGGTGGATGGGAGAGTAGGTAGATGGGTGGGTGGGTTGATGGATGAATAGGTCGGTGGTAAATGGGTGGATGGGAAAGTAGAGGTAACAGGATGAATTTTACTTTTTGATCATTTCCATAATAGAGATGCTTTGTTTCTCTTTCCTAGGTCTTGAAAGGAGACTATAAAACACCAGCCAATCTGAAAGGATATTTTCAGGTTAGAAACTCCAAGGGGAATTCTGAAATCTGTTTATTGGACTGTCCCACTAGCTTGCAGATGCCCTTAAACACTTCGCTTCTCTAATCTGGCTGATCATTTCCTCGTCAGAAAATTGGGTTGGGGGAGGGTAGGTCAGGCCAGGGGCCCTCCAAGTGTCTGATCCAGCTGGGGCCAAAGAGCAGCCCTTCTGCCCGTGCCCCTTCCATCGCCTTGTCTCCTGGCTTGAGAGCAGTTGGAGGGATCGGTGGGGGCTTTCTGTCAAACTCCCTGTCTCTAGCCTTAAATTCAGTTTTATATAAAGTGGCAGTCCCCAAACACAACCCAGCCTGGAATTTTCATCAGGCAACCAAAAAACGAGAACCATAAGGGTCACATGGGTGTGGGTATCCCCGCGAGTGTAGACATACAAATGCCCCTGCATCCCCGCACCCATCTCCCTGGCTGTGCCTCCCACACATCCTGGGTATGTCTGTGGGGTGCGGTCCGTGCGTCATGTCAAGAAGAACTGCCCCCTTCACTGACATGATAGCCCCCCTTTAAATGAGGTGTTTTAGTTTGTGTATTAGTTTGGGAGAGAAGGGGTGCCAATCTCCAGTTTAATAATCAAATTCATGAATGCTAATTGTCTGGGGTCCATGGCTTGTGCACCCATCTTAGTTCCTTGGGGAGGGCTCCATGCTCCCTTTCTGGGAGTCGGAGACCCAGCCCATCCTCTTGCCGCTGTGAAAAAAATATTGCCAGGATTAGTCAGCATTAATTTATTGCCTGTTTTAACTGAAAAGATGATGTAACAAGAGCCACACACAGAAGTGGGGGTGAGGGGAATTAGTCACCACCCAGAATGCCTTTCATTTTTGCAGAGTATCCTTTTTTGCCCACCTGAATAGGCACTTGGCACTCCTTGCATTTCCATCGAATGAGCTGCTTGGGTTTGCGTTCTTCGTGTTTTCCCATCTTTTGGGTTTCACTGTTGCCATTTGGGATGGTGCCATAGTATTCTCTGGAATGCATTATGAGCTATTGTTGCCCTAAGATCATGTCCAGTTTCTGCATTGTCGCGAATGATGGCCTGTGCGCTTCATCTTGATCTTGCCTCTCTTATCTGGGGTGGGGCGGGGGACTCTTGAACCCTTCCCTTAGAAGACATTGCTATGGGGAGGCATCAGTGGGCAGAAGGGTCCGGTTCTTTTTGAGACTCTTGACCTAGAAGGCTAAACTGTTGTACAGAAGAGTCGGAGCAATTTACATTCTCTTGCAGTGTATGGCATATTCAAGATGTCTGGCTGGCCTGGGACTGTTTCTTGCTCTGTTAGGGGCAAACTGTGGAGGAATGGCATATGCCCTGTCATCACGAACACTGCCATGCTCCGGAGAGCTGCCCTGCCAACTGCATTGGGCCCCCGCTTTCCACCCTCCTCTTCCTCCCAGTCCTCCAAGGGGCACCTGACTTCCTTCAGGGTATCGCAAAAATTGGAAAACAGTCTACGGCAATAGTTACATACATGATGGCACATGCATTCCACGGGGTACTCTGTAGCCATCTAGAATGATCACCTTGAAACCCAAGAGATGGAAAACTAGTAAGCACAACAAAGCAGCTCACACATTAGAATTGCAGCGAATGAAGAAAAAGAATCCTCATTCGCGAGGCACCAAACACACCCCCTTCCCCCGCCCCATTCCAGGTCTTTGCTGTTCCTTTTGCCAGGAATGCTTTTCCAGCCAGGCCTTTGTGTGCCTTGCCCCATTTGCATTTTTTAGATCTCAGCTTATGGGATGTTTTCCAACACCAGCAACCAGTTCCTGATTCTCCAAACACCAACTGGATTTCAGTTTGCGCAGTGACGCCCAGAGTTCGTGTCAGACCCCACAGGATAAGGTCTTGGTCCCAGAAGACTGCCCCCCGCTTCAGATGCCAGCCACCATGGGTTCCCCGGCTACCCACATTTCTGCCCAGCCAACTAACATTTAAGAATTTGCTAGAACAACTCACAGGACTCAGGAAAGCACTTTACTTCCTAGATTAGTGGTTTATTATAAAGGGTACGACCCAGGAATGGCCTTGGAAGAGGTACACAGGGCAAGGTACGGGGTAAAGGGTGTGGAACTTCTAGGCCCTCTTTGGGCACACTACCTACCCTCCTGCACCTCCATGTGCTCACCAATCTGGAAGCTTTCTGAAGCCGTCATTTAGGGGTTTCTGTGGAGCGTTCATGAAGTAGGTACAGTTGATTAAATCACTGGTATTAACTTACTCTCCAGCTCCTCTCCCCTCCCCAGAGTCATGCCTTGGTCTTTCTAAGTCACCAGTGCCCATCCTGAAGGCAGACACTGTCATCTCGTTAGTATACAAGAACTGCTTGTTATCACTCGGAGATTCTAGGGTTTTAGGAGCTGAGTGCCAGGAACTTGGGACAAAGAGCATATGTTTATTTTTCATTATGCTACAGCTTAAATGTCAACCCCTAATAGTAGCCTTTCCTGACCACCCTCTCTGAAGTAGCTCCAAAGTCACTCATATGAGCCCACTGTATTGCCCAGAGGTGTAGGGGACATTATCTTGCGTATGTGTTTGTAAAGGCTCTGCCCGCTGCCACATAAGCTGCAGAATAGGACCAAGTCAGTCATGTTCACAGCATCCCCAGCACCTGGCCTGTAGTAGGTGTGCAGTAAATACCCCATGAGCGAGTATGTGCCTTCCCCAGTGGTGCTGAGGCTCAATCTCAGGGCAGTGGGATCCTGGCACCCCAACCTGGCTGTGACCCCTTCCTCTGTGTGTTGTCTTCCTCCAGGTGAACCAGAACAGCACCTCCTCCCACTTAGGAAGCTCATGATTTCCAGGTAGGCCTGCAGGCTTCCCTTCTCTCCCCCCACCTCCCTCCAATGCCTTCTGAGCCCAGGAGCTACTCTCCTTGAAAAGCTTGCCCTTCCAGAGCCTCTCTGGGGGGGAGTGTCCACCAAGGTGGGCTGACCCAGCCCCAAGGGGGGGTTTCCATGGCGACAAGCTGGGGGAGCTATTTATAGAATTACAGCTTAGTCTCCTAGCTCTGGATCAGGTAGGGGCAGGGATCATTGCAGAACCAACCAGAAGGTTTGTCTGACTTTGGGAAGGGGGCCCCAGGGACCCATGTGATGGAGGTGAGGAGTGGGATTCTAGAATATTTTGGCACAGAATGTTGTCTGTTTATCCTGCTTCTATAAACAGCATGGAGTTGGCCCAAAGCAATTAATGTTCTAAGAAAAGCTCCAAGCAGGTCTGGTCTAAGAATAACCCCAGGGTTTTGGACCAAGTGCTACTCCTAGGTTACTCCTTTAATGCTGAGGATCCCTGGGATGGCCACTGACACAGAGAAGGAAGCTAGAACCCCCGAGAAGGAAGCTAGAACCCAAAGGGGGCCCTGACTTGCCCAAGATCACACAGCCACCAAGTGGCAGCATCCTCCTCCCCCCGGGCATCTTCTTCCAGAGTTTGCTTTTGAGGAACAATTCAAAGTGCAGTTCTATCCACTCGTATCTTGTGCGAGGGTAGGGGAACACGTTCTGACCTTGGGAAGTCAAAGGTTTAGGAACCCACTTCAGATCGGACCTCTCCCCACCTCCGTTTGTGACATCCGGAGAAGGGGGACTCGGCCGGGTCAGCCTGCTTGGGTGGCCGGGAGATGAAGTGAGCTGGCCCAGGGGGGCACGTGGGAATCCAGGAAGCCTGGCGTCCTCGCTGTGCATGTGGGCACTGGAGTTAAGGCCCCAGATGTGAACTTCCTCTGTCACTCGGGTGACCCCACAAGAGGTCAAAAGCGACTCACATGGGTGTTCTCCGTTTTGCTCTAGACTATGAAGAAGCTTCCAGCCTGGACTCTATTTTTAGTCTCCTGATCTTATTTTTAAATAATCAGCATATTTTCTAGTATCTTTTTTTTTTCTTTTCTTTTTAATCTACTTTGCCCCAGCCTCAGGCCCTTGTCATTATCAGGGATCCCATCTTGGGTGGTGCTGAGATCCCAGAGTTCTGCTGCATTCCAGAGGCAAGAAACCTCCTGTGGAAGGGCTCCTGTCTCCATGATTCTCCCTGACATCTTCCCCTCGTTCTCGTTCTGCAGATTCTTTAGTAGAATTTTGCACCTTCCTGCTGACAAAAGCCTGATATATTCCTCGCTGTACTGTTGTTTTTTTTTTTAAAGATTTTATTTATTTATTTGAGAGAGAGAATGAGAGAGAGAGAGCATGAGAGGGGGGAGGGTCAGAGAGAGAAGCAGACTCCCTGCCGAGCAGGGAGCCCCATGCGGGACTCGATCCCGGGACTCCAGGATCATGACCTGAGCCAAAGGCAGTCGCTTAACCAACTGAGCCACCCAGGCGCCCTCGCTGTACTGTTTAAATGAGATACCATACACAGGGTGCTTGAGCTCGTCCCTGGTAAACAGTTGGCCTGAAACAAAGGCCGATCCTTCCCTCGCCTCCAAAAATCCATTGGCATTTATGACATAATCATCACTACTCTCTCTTCATAAGTAGAAAGAGTCTATCTTTGAGGTCAGGCAGATGCAGGTTGGGATGCAGGTGAGAACACTATTAAATTTAAATTCTCTCTGGCCATCTGGGGTCTGCTGACAACACCTCACCTGCTTTTGTGAATATGCATGAAGACCATCCGTTCCTATATCACACAGAGGAATATGAAGGGTCTGTCTGCCTCTGGGCCTAACACAGTTTTCTCCCTGTTCAGATCTCTGCAGATTGTTGCCGAGAGAAGACACTTGGCATTCGAGTGGAAATCGGACCTCTAATCCAAGCATATTGCTTGCTATTAATCGCCAAAACAGGACTGCTAACGAGGAATGTATTTGCATATGTTTGCAAAAGCTGCATCACTGAAAACTTAACGTGGAGACTCTCTACCTTTGGACGCCCCTGGGGTGGAGAGCCAAGGGTGTGGCCGTAGTCCGGCTTTTGAAACTTAGGTATTTTTTAATCTTTCCCCTCAAGAACTTTTTTTTAAAGAAATGGATTTGCCATTTTTCTTAATTTGCAGGTCTGCCTTGGTGGCTTTGTTTGCGGGGATAAGGCCCACACCTGTGCCTCTCCTATTGACCCTTACTTTTCAATTCAAAGAATCTATTTAAGAATTTAATATATGGGGTTTTCTTTGATTCTTCCTCAGTTCTACTCAGATTCAGAGGAAAAAAAGTTATTGGAATAAAGTGAACAGGGACTCATTTGGTCTGTGCCTGACTTTACAGAATGAACAGATTTTTTTTTTTCCTCCATATTGGATTTTTTCAGGTGGATTGATGACAGGCGAACAAGGTTCCCATTTCAGGTGCTCAGTAGGGCACCCTGAGCTCCTGTGTCGGGTCCCCCGAGGCTGTCCTTGGGATGGGCGGTTTGCTAGAGGGACTCCCAGACAAACTGCTGGACTCACAGTCACAGTTTATTACTGTGACAAGATGCAGATTAAAATCTGCAAAGAAAAAAGGTGCAGAGGGCAGGTACAGGGAGATCAGGAGTGAGCTTCCAGGGATCCTCACCCAGTGGAGGCTTACGGACACGCTTAATTCTACCAGCCACGACAGGTGACAAGTATTGCCACCAGGAAAGCTCACCTGAGCCTTGGTGTGTGGCGTTTTTATTGGGCATCAGTCGTAGGCATGGGGCACTCATATGACTGACCTCAAGTACTCCGTCTCCAGCCCCTGCAGATGTCAAGTGATCCGGCCTGATCCCAGGCCCCATCATAAATCACATTGTTAGCATAGACCATCAGGCCTGGTATGGCCCAGGGTCCCTGGTATGCAAAGACACTTTTATTAGACAGGATATCTCAAAGGCTTAGAGATCATCTCTCAAGAGCTGGTCAAGGGCCAGTGTTTTCTTTGGCACATACAGGATGTGAACAGTCCCAGCCTGCTGGGCCCCAAAATGCTGCACGGCCCCCAGATGCTGAGGGACCAGCTGGGCCCAGAGCAGTTTCTTGTCTTTAAGGGTTAAAGTGTTTTATCCACCCTCCCTTGCTTTGCAGGCTTTGGGGAGGCAGTGACTCCCAGTGGTTTGGAGCATAGATTTTTGGAGTCAGGCCTAAGAACTTACTGGCTGTGTGGCTTGGGGCTTCATTTCTTCATCTGTAAAATGGGAAAGGTAAAACTTCAGGGGTTTATTGGGAGGGGCTGATGGTTGACCTAGGCAGTGGGGCCTGGTGTGCAATGAGCCTGCAGTGCGAGGCAGCTCTGGTCTCTCCCGGTCTTAGAACTGCGGTGGGGGGAGCTGATGGAGCTCTGAACACGGGAAGCTCATGGTCACCGCTCAGCGGGGAGCAGAGCACACCCAGCCTTATTCAGCGTTCCACTCGTCTGTTGCTGTAGAACCGGCCAGCCCCATGCTTAGTGACTTACCACAGTGTATTGTTAAATCTCTCCATTCTGGAAGTCAGCCGGAGGGAGCTGGGTGGTTCTCACAGTCAGAGGGTGGCTGGGACTCCTGTCTTCCGAAGGCTTCTTCATTCCCACATCTGGTGCTGGGCCCAGGTGGCTGGAGCGTCAAGAGGCTTTCCTGGGCTTCTCTGTCGCATGGCCTTGTCCCCGTGGCTAGCCTGACAGCATGGCGGCCTCAGGACAGCCAGACTTTTTCCATGGGGGCTGGCTTCTCCCAGAGCAGGCGTTGCCAGAGACCGGAAGCACCGGAAGAGCCAGTCAGTTAAGGGATAAGCCTGGCCCAGTGTCACTGCCACTGAGTTTGTCCTAGTCCTAGGGGCCCCCCCGCCATGTTCAAGAGAATAGAGAAATTCCTCCTCTTGGAGGCGCAGAGGCAAGGGCACAATGCAGAAGTGCAGGTGGGGGAGAGAGGCAGTTGTGGCCGTCTTGGGACAACCCAGCACGGTCATCATCAAAACCAGTTTATCCGCCTCCCCCGCAGGGTCATCAAATAACATAGGAATTCATCAGATTATGAGATTTCTCTCTGGGATATGCAACGTTAGCCAAACGTTCCCTTTCTTCAACGGGGTGCAGACTAAAGACATCTCTTTACTGTTTAAAGCACGGTGATTCCAGACCCCCAAAAGGCTTGGTCATCAAGAAACCCAGGCTTTTTGGTTTCCCCAGACTCTGCCTTGGGAGCAGGAACAGTTCTTCCCACTGATGGAGCTACTCCAGGCCTCCTGAAGCCCCAAGTCTGGGTCAAGAACCAAGAAGACATCTTTTACCCCATCCTCATTCTCTCTTCTCAAGGAACACTTTTCAGGACTATTAACAGAGAATCCCATTCCTTTGGGTGAAAGCCCTTGACCCACCCACTAGGGCTGGCCCCTGACCAAGTGCCCTCCACCAACTTAAGCCCGTTCACAAGTGTGGATTATTCTGATCTGACCTTGTTTCCATGGTAACAGCTGGTATTTTCAACGGGTTGTTGAGTTGCCTCGTTATTTTAAAATAATTATAGACTCCTATGAAGTTGCAAAGGTACAACACGGGGTCCTGTGGATCCTTCACGTGGCTTCCCCCAACACTGACATCTTGTACCAACTGCAGTGTCATATCAAAACCAGGAAACTGACCATAACGCAGTGCTGTTAACTAGCCTACAGACCACAGGCCTGGTTCCATTTTCACCATTTTGTGCATAGGTGTGTGTGTGTGTTCAAGAGTTTCATCCCCTTTCAGTGGCAGACCCTTCCATAACCGCCCCCCCTCCCAGGACACACAAAGTCACATACAAAAGCTAAATCTAAGAAACAGAAATGGAGCTTCTGCTGAGAACACCATCCCCGTCCCAAGCCCCGGTAACTTCCCTTTGAAGTACTTACTCACGGTCAAGGTTTTGCATTAATGTACCTGGTGATTTGATTCAAGTTGGTCTTACTGATTCAAGTTAGTCTTACTGGATTCAAGTTGGTCTTACTGGACCGGACACTGTGTGAGTGCAAGAACCATTATTCCTCATTGCTCCCCATTTACCACTGGTCACAGGCTGGGAAAGCAAGTGACCAAGCAGCCCCAGTGCTCCTCATCTCCAGGGGCTCACACGCCTTTTGTACGCTGTCCCTTTCCACTGAACAGGGATAGGGTTTCGGGTTGATACAGGACTCATGGTTAAATTTGAATTTCAGATAAAACAGTAATTTTTCAGTCTTTTACAGTATTTCATGGGACATACGAAAAACTTACTTGTTGTTTATGTGAAATTCAAGTTTAACTGGGAAACCTGTATTTTTGCTTGCTAAATCTAGCAACTCCCAGGAGGGCTGGCTGTGCGGCGATAGGATATTAGGGACATGGAGGGTGTGACTTCCTTGTTGTGGCTTCAACCTCGTTCCTCTTTTTTTTTGAGAGAGAGAGATTGATTGAGAGCGTGACCTGGGTAGGGGCAGAGGGCGAGGGAGAGCGAATCTGAAGCTGACTCCCCACCCAGCAAGGAGCCTGACACGGGGCTCGACCCCAGGACCCTGAGATCATGACCTGAGCTGAAACCAAGAGTCGGATGCTTAACTGACTGAGCTGCCCAGGCGCCCCTGCCTTGCTGCTCTCTTAGTCACTCGCGCTCGGGGAGTCCAGTCATATGTCATGAGGACACTCAGCAGCCGTAAGTAAAGGTTCACGTGGCAAGTTCCCGAGGCCTCCTGCTGACAGCCAGCACCGGCCTGCCAGTTGTGTGAGCGAATCGCCTAGGAAGCGGATCAGCCAGCCTTGGTCAAGCCTGCAGGTAACTGCGGTCCCAGCTGACCTCTTGACTGCAACCCCAAGAGAGATCCCGGGTCCGGAGCAGCACGTGAGTCAGCAGCTAAGTCACTCTTGAATTCCTGCCCACAGAAACTGTGTGCGATCATGCTCACTGTTGTCCCAAGCCGCGAAGTTTGGAAGGTACTCGTTACATTGCAGTAGGTAATGCCGAGGAGCTCCAGTTATTTGTGAATGAGTGAAGGAACCAGTGAATGAATGAGCGATGAATGACTGATGAAGGCTGTGGTTCCTCCCCTCCTCTGCGCGCTTGTGAGGGCCCTCGCCCGACAGATGACACCCAGGCCTGTGGATCCTTGTGTGCCAGGGTAGAGTCTTCACAAACTCTTGAAAGATAAGTAAGGTATCAACCATCTGTATGAAACATTTCAAGGGAAACCAGATTAGCTAATCTCAGCTCATCTGGATTTCCAATCCTCCCCAGTTCAGGACACGCTCTATATTTTTGTGACAAAATTCGAACTAAGAATAAGCCATGTGCAACTGTATAATGTCACCGTCCTAGAAAAGGTACTTGTGCTAGACTTTAAATATATCAGCCTTGAAATGCCACTGGCGGATTGTTTCTATGGTACCAACCTATTTAAAGTTGTAACCAAGGAAGGATGTTTTTTTCCCCCCAAATCTTTCGAAGGCAGTATGGAAATGGGGCTGTGGAAGCGGGTGATGAGGACCGGGGACTCGGGTAACAGAAACTACCCGGGAGGTTTGCTGATGTGTGCAGAGGGTTTGTCTCTGCGACCCCGGACAGACAGGCCTCACTCTCTACGTAGTAGCTCGGGTAAGTTGGCAGAAATGGTGTGGGTGCCCCAGGCGTGGTGCAGCAGAGGAAGCACCCGTCCGGACGTCTGAGCGCCTAGGTTTCAGGCCTGGCTCTGTCCTTACACTCGCTGAGTAGCCTGTGCCTGCCCCTTGTGGCCCGACCTCCTCCACCGCTTCATCTGACAAGTGTCCACGGCGCTGTCAGGCTCCTGCTAAGGAGCCTTGTTGCCTGGCAACCCTTCTGGGACAGCTACATGTCTGAGTACCTCATTGGGAATCTACACACGGGCCTGGATGTCCCCAAGTCCCAAAGCAAGGGTTTTTTTCTGGGCAGTGGTGGGAGACCGTGATGTACGGGTATGAAGTCAGGCATCTACATCTCTGGTTGCCTCTCTTGCTTTTCTGGAGACCGGGCATTTGAACCCAGAAATCCTGAGAAACCACTGATCTTTGAGGCGGAGAGGCCTCCCATGCAGAGGTGTGAGGTTGGGTCTTTCAAATGAAAACAGCGCTAACCATTTACTAAGCTCTTATTAGTCTTCCTATGGCCAGCAGCTTTAGATGCATTCCTGAGCCACCCCTCTTTTTTTTGGTCCTGAAAACAACCCTTTTAGAGCACTACTGTCATTATCCCCATTTTGCAGATAGGGAAACAGGTGCAGTGAGGTGAAGCTACCTACCCCCGTCCCACATCGAGGAAGGAGCAAAGTGATTTGGATCCCTCAAGTTTTACTCCAGTAACTTCATTAAAAATTTTTTTTTTTTTCCTAGAGGTGCCTGGGTGGTTCAGTCGGTCAAGGGTCTGCCTTTGGCTCAGGTTATGATCCTGGGGTCCTGGAATCGAGTCCTGCGTCAGGCTCTGTGCTCAGCAGGAAGTCGGCTTTTCCTCCCTCTGCCCCTCCCCCCACTCATGCTCTCTCTCTCTCTCTCTCTAATAAATAAAATCTTGGAAAAAAAATTCTAAGTACAGAGAGAACCTTTTTTTTCCCTTAATAACTTGAGGCTAAGTTGCCTACTTGATGTCCTATCACCCCCCAAATGTAGTATTTCCAGCAAACAAAGACATTTTCCAGTGTAACCACAGAACATCCAGCGGAATCAGAAGATTAACATCGACACATCACCACCATGGAAACCTCAGACCACGTTTAAATTTTGCCAGTTGTCCCCATAACTTCCTTTATAGCAGAAAGTTCTAGTTCAGAATCCTGTGCTGCATTTAGCTGTCACATCTCCTTAGACTCCTTCATTCTGGAGCACTTTCAGGGTCTATCTTTGATTTTCACGACTTGGGCACTTTTGAAGATCACAGGCCAGTTGTTTGGTAGAACTTCTCTTTATTTGGGTTTGTCTTAGGTACGTATCCTCATGATTCCATTCCAGTTATGCATCTTTGACAGGAACAGCACGGGAGTGATGCTATGATCTCAGGGCATCCTATCACATCGTATCACATGATGTCCACTTGTCCCCATTGTTGGGCATGCACACCCTGATCATGTGATCAGAGCTTGTACTCTTAGTGACCCCACCACAATCCACAAAGGCCCCCTCTCCAGAAGCCACATGGCAGGGTTCATTTGGTGAAGCAAACCCACGAGCCTCAGTCCCTGGTGATCAGAGTGATCAGAGTAACTGCAGCTTCACCCAAGTCGGCTGTAAAGCTAGAGAGATAGCTACAGAGAAGCCAAGCTTACTTCTATCTTTGGCTTTGGCCTATTAGCAGATGCATATACATTTCCAGGCCCAGACTCAAAATGGCTTATCTCGTCTTCTTGTTTTTCCTCACTCTGCTCCCTGGTGAAGCTTTTAGTCTGTTAGACTCTCTCCCCCCGGCCTTCTCTTGTATGAAACCTCTCTTTCTAATTTCTTTCCTGAGTACATACTGTGTGTCAGTCATGATGACACTACAAGTCAGTGGGGATACAGAGACCATGAAGTCACAGTGCCTGTCTCACGAAGACGGCAGTTAATTGGCTTCCTGTAGGTTCTTGATTCATTAATAACGACAGGAAGTTAGATCCAGATCTTTGACCAGAAGTCCAGGGCAATTCTAACAATTGCCTCTTGAATCTTTTCATCATATGGAGGAGAGAGTGAGAAAGAACATAAGCAAAAATTAACAGCTAACACTTCCTAAGCACCTACGGTGTGGCAGGTACAGTTGAAACGGCTTACATATTTGATCTCACCGATCCTCAACCATTTTGCAAAAGAGGAAACCGAGGCTTCCAGAGATGTAGTGACTTGCCCAACGCCCGTCTGTAAGTGGCAGAGCGGACATGGGAACTCCAGAGCCTGTGTGCTTACAGAGTCCAGAGGCAGCCAGGGATTTCCTGGGAGGGCTTGGTGCCTCTTTCCTTCATTGCATCCCTTGAGCCTAGCACAGGGTAGGCACTGGGTACGTTTCTATTAGATCAGTAAATGAATGAATGTTATTAGCCAACAGGCTGGAAAAGAAGAGAAGGGAAAGATTTCCTGGAGGGAATACCTGGGATCTCTAGAGCTTGCCCATTCATTCCTGCACTCTCTCAAGCTCCCGCAGAAGGCAACTGCTCTGTGCCCATGACGGTGCTTACACTAAAGGACCCCAAAGATACAGGAGGCAGTCTTGACCTTCATTATTCCCGCTTTCAGGCTAGGTCCCGGCCCCACTATTGCCTCACGCTATTCCTCACGACTACCCAGTGAGCTAGTCCTATATCCCCATTTTACAGATTTTGAATCTCAGGCTGGCAAAGGAGTCCACGCAGGCCAAGGTGGCTCGGCGTCGTCCACACCTAGAGGGCGCGGAGGGGAAGCCGAGGCGGCCAGGAAATACGCCTCCAGCCATTAGAAGCCCTGAAAATCCCCGCCTCCTTTCTCTCCTCTTAGCCCCGCCCCTCTAGAGCCGAAGGCGCTCTAGCCTTCCGCTGCTGCCGTGGTAACCAGCGCACCGGTTCCGCTACCGATACGTCATTTCCGGCGCGCCATCCTAGACGCATCCGGGTTCCGGCCGCCGAAGCGGTGAGCTGCTCCCCGGAGCCGTTAGTTGTATTTGGTCTGCGGGACCCGGGGGAGGTGAGTGGGGCCGGGGTGCGGGAAGAGACGGGGTGGGGGTGGGGGTCCCCGCCAGTAGGAGTGAGTGAGAGGGACCCACCGAGCCCCTCCGCGAAGCCTGGCTTCAAGCCCCCCTGCTTTCGAGCTCTGCCGCGTAGAACCTAGGGTAAGTTGTCCGACTTTCCTGAGCCTCGTTTTTCTTATCTGGAGCGTGGGAACGCTAACAGTACCCACCTCCTAGAAGTGACTTGATGCTTACATCAGCTCATCAGGCCGAAGCGTCTGGCAAGTACTTCGTACTGCTCTGTGCCGAAGGCTCTGTAACTCCTAGCAACCCTCCGGTTATTACGGTGTCCAAGGAGGTCGCGGTATTATTGACTCCCTACCTCCTCTGAGAACATTTCCCTCCTTTTCACTCTTGGGTGAGGCTGGGACCAGCTGCACCCTACCAGTGTGCCAGTGAGTGGAATAACTAGGGAGAACTTTGTGACAGAAGCGACCAGAGGTAGTGAACTCCCTGTCCCTGAAGGCTGCTTGCGGCAAGCAACTGGTAGGTAAGAATCCCAGTCCCCGTCACGAATTGCAAGTGGTGTCGTGTAGTGCTCCATGCTTGGCACTTCGTGTGTCCGTAATACTGGAGCACTCACTGAGTACCTGGTAGAGCTGGCATTTGAACTCAGGCTGTGATTTTAGCAGTACTTTGTTAGGTTCCTTCCGTAATCCAGTAATAGTAATGATGATGAACCTAATCTTGGGGCTACAGTAACAGCTATTGTTCCTTGAGCGTTTTTATTCTAAGTGTTTTTTACTTTTCTTTTTTTTTTACAAGATTTTATTTGTGAGAAAGAGAACATGAGTGGGGGGAGGAAGGGGCAGAGGGAGAGGGAGAAGCAGACTCCCCACCGAGCAGGGAGCCCATGCGGGGTTTCGTCCCAGGACCCTGAGATCATGACCCAAGCCGAAGGCAGACGCTTAACCACCTGAGCCACCCAAGCGCCCCTGAGCTAGATGTTTTTTAAGCACCATCTCATTTAATCTGGCTCACAGGCATTCTTAGAGGGTAGTAGTATAGTTAATCTACCGTAAGAAAGAGACAGCTGAATCTCATCACCCAGCTACCAGGAGCTGAATTCTCTATGGCAATACGTGGATGTCTGTTAAGGTAGTGTTTATAATTCCTACTGCCTTCAGAAGAGATTAATGTTTTAGTAGGAAAACTTTAAATCTTAGGGTCTCACCAAGTAATATATTTCAGAAAGCATGTTCTAAAAACAGTCACTCCTGGGACCGCCAAGGGTCTAGATATAACACAAACAACAACAAAGTCTGGGATCCAGGAAAATGCCCACGCCGTTTTTGAGGCAATAATAGAATAACAAACGTAGTTATTTTTATGTGGTTTATATACATGTGTGTGTGATGTTTTATGGCATTGACTAAGACAGAGAAATAGATGCTTAAGAATCACATATTGTTGGGACCAGTCTTTTGTCCTACCTGTTTAAATAGTGTTTGTTCGCTAAAATATGTTTTTAATGTCTGCTTTATTGAAGTGTAACTGATTTTAACAGACTTTGAATTTGGAGGAATTTCGAAGGGAGCAAGGAGCAGGGACTCAGGGAAGCCTACTGCTGCTTCCCCCAGGACTTACCACAGACTGTGTGCGCCTTTTTTATTCCTTTCTTTAGTGGCTGGCCATGTCACTGTCCCACTTGTACCGGGATGGGGAAGGCCACATGGATGACGATGACGATGAGCGGGAGAACTTTGAGATCACCGACTGGGATCTCCAGAATGAATTTAACCCTAACCGGCAGCGCCACTGGCAGACCAAGGAAGAGGCCACGTATGGAGTGTGGGCGGAGAGAGACTCAGACGAAGAGAGGCCCAGCTTTGGAGGCAAACGGTACTGGGCGGCATGGGGCTGCTTCCGCCTTGCTTTAGGGAAGTGGGGAAGATGGAGAGGGGGTTGGGCAGATACCCCACTAAATACACTTCGCTCCTGGCCTTACTGAGTCCCATACCTACAACATCAGCTAGGGAAGCCCAGCTTCCTCTTGGGCTGGAGTGCTGCCTCTTTTGCTGATTTAACCATCCGTTGGTGTTTAACAAGCAATTATATGTATTAGGTCTTATGCTCCCATTCCTTGCCTTCTGGGAGCCCAGACACTAGAGCATGGAGACAGGCATTCATCGACAATTCCCACAGTGGAAGTTTGTAACTGATTTGGGACCTGAGGGAGAGAGTTTGACCTGTTCTGGATGGTGAGGGAAGATTTCTCTAGAGAAGCGCCCCTTGAGCTTATATGACAGCAGAAGGTAACAAGGGTGGTTGGAGAGGCACGAGTATGCAGAGGCTCTTGAGGGGAGGCAACGGGTGTCCACAGAAGGTTTTGTAGGCTGGAGTGGAGAGAGAAGGAGAGGGAGCATAGTTTGAGAAGAGGCCCGTGGGTCTGTAGTAAGAGGGCGGATGATGTGGGCAGTGGTTATGTTTGGAGAAGACCTTTTGGTGTGCAGAGTCAGCACGGACCTCCAGCGGAAGAGGGAGCTCTGTGAGGCCAAGACAGGGTCCCTGCAGGGATGGTGGCAGGGAGATGAGGATTCAGGCCAGCAGTCCTCCTCCTCAGCGTGAGGTCATGTGTGCACTGGCCACTTGACCAGAGCGTGTAGCGAGTTTGGGTTTGTCTTCCTGTCCCATCTGTGGCCTACAGGCTCCAGACTGTGGAGACTGTGCCTTTTTCACCAAGGAGCCTGGGGAGAAAGAGTATGGAGATCAGCTGAACCCCTTCTCATCTGGCAAGGAAACCTAAAAGATGATAAAAGGATCAGAGGTCAAGAATTATGTAACCGTAAGATAATAACAGCCAACATTTGTCGGCCCCTTACTTGTTCTGCACTCTTTACGTGCTTGGTATCCTTTACCTTGTGAGAAAAGTACCATTATTATCATCCCCCATTTTACAGATTAAGAAACTGAGGCCAAAAGCACACAGCCAAGCTATGAGAATCTGGGCCTGACTCCTGAGTTTGGGCTCTTAGCCCCTAAGTTACATTGCATTTTTTAGGTCACAATCCTCTGAGTTCTCTTACTGCCCGTGGGGATGTTTAAAGACAGGTTGGTCATTGTATAAAGAGAACCAAGGTTGATGACATTGTAAGTGCTGTTCTTGGGACGTCATGCTCAGCATCACTACTTTCCATCTCCCGGAGTTAATTTTCTAGGTATTTTACTTTGTTTTCATATACAAATAAAGGTAATGGACTTGAAGTTTTTCTGAGAATTTGGCCAATATTCTAAGAATTTGGCCGATATAATTGTTCTTTCCATTCATACAATTTCTTTTATTGTGTTTGATGATTTTTCTGTATTAGAACTTCTTTCTTGCTTGGTTTTTTACTTGAAATAGGGTTCAAAACACATGCTTTTTAAAGTAAGTTAATTTTGAAACATGTAAAAGAAAGTTGCGTTACCACATCATATTTTGCATTTTTTCCTTTCATTTTTATTGAGACATAATCGATGCACTGTTTAAGATCTTATTTTGCATTTTTCATTAGCCTTGCACTGACAGGGTAACTCTTCAACCATACAGTTGACTTGAACACAGCAGACAACAATGTTCCCATGATTACAGGAAGCTAGATCTGGGGCCCTTTTGGTATAAGTGAAGGGGTTGCTCTTTTAAAATGGATCCTTGGAGGTCCTGTCTTAGGGGTTCTCAGGCCAGCAGAGTTTGCACAAGGGATGCTGCAGAAGGTTCCTTACAGACCCCTGGGGGCATGTGTTTGCTCGCAGGGCCCGCGACTACTCTGCGCCAGTCAACTTCATCAGTGCAGGCCTCAAGAAAGGGGCAGCAGAGGGGGCCGAGCTGGAAGATTCAGAAGATGAAGAGAAGCCTGTTAAGCAGGATGACTTTCCTAAGGATTTCGGACCCAAGAAGTTAAAGACGGTAGCGTCTTCATCTTAGGCTTGTGACCTTTGTAATGTCCTTGGGAGGTCATGCAGCCGAAGCATCTCCTACAGGTCGTGGAGGGGGTTGGGGCTCAATAGAGGCCGGTTGTGTCGGTTTCTCCTCGTGGTGGCGGGTTCCTTGGAGGTGCGAAGGGGGGCAGTACGGTCTCTTTGCTTTCCTAAGACACGGCACAGGTCTATTTTTGGTTCGTATGATGCTTTTCATGATGCTCTGACTGCCAGGCCCTTTTCCCGGCATCCAAGCTTGCTTTTTTAGGGTTTTTCTTCTTTATCTTTTTCCATCAACTGAACTTTGGGTTTTTTTCTGCTTAGGGTGGCAATTTTAAACCCAGCCAGAAAGGCTTTGCAGGAGGAACCAAGTCTTTCATGGATTTTGGCAGCTGGGAAAGACACACAAAAGGCATTGGACAGAAGCTTCTTCAGAAGATGGGCTACGTCCCTGGCAGGGGCCTCGGGAAAAATGCACAAGGTAGGGCGCCAGCGCCCTGCAGTCAGGGGGGAGGGCGGCGAGATGGAAGTAAGAGGAGCTGTCTGGGGAGTGCCTTGCTTTTTCTCTTTTCAGAGTACTTGAACTCCGCAGCCTGCTCTGCCAGCGCCAGACAGTTGTGCCCCTCAGCTGTCTGCTTTCTCACACTCCAACAAAACACTTGTGCTGCAGGAGAAAGAGGCTTAGGCTTTGTAGAAGAAGGCTCAAACAGGCTGCAAACTGATAGGCTTCTTTTGGGCTTATCCAGTGTTTCTTAACAAATGAGCTTGTTGCCAGTATTTACAAATAAGATAATCTTACCTAAGATTTCCGATTTTGCCTGGTAGGAATGGGTCTTAGCTGCAAGGACAGTGCTTGTGGCCTCCACTGCTCCCTGTCATCTTCTGTCCTGGCAGGCGTCCCTGTCCATGAGTTTTCCTGGGCCCTGGAGGTACAGGAGCCGGCTGTTCCTGCTCAGTTATTTGTCCTTCGGGAATAGCAGTGAAACGGTGTGTGGAGCTTTCTCAACCCTAGAGACCGGAAACCTGGCTAAGCAAATCCCGCTTCGGGGCCTCCACTGGCGTTCAGCAGCCTGGTCTCCCGTCCCCAGGCCCCGTCCGCACAGCTCCGCTAACACGTCCCTGGCTCCTTGATACCGAAGCCACCCCGACCGAGCACTTGGGTTCTTCCTGCAGAACCTTGCTGTCTCTCTCCTTGACCTGTTTCCCGTGAGCTGTCACCAACGTGGCTGGAAACAGAGTAGTGTCGATAATCCAGATTCCACCCCCTAAGTAGTTGTTCGGGTCACGCCCAGGGTATGTGTTGAACACGTTAGGTGTAGGGAAGGTCCAAGAGCCTCCTCATTCCGGTGACCCGGAACGAGAATGAGGGGACTGTCCTAATTCGAGACTGCGACAAACTAGCTGAAGGGGCGGGTGGGCGGTTTTTGCTGAAATGCTGTAGTCCTGTCTCTAAACCCTTAGAAGAAGACAGTTATTTCTGAGGCTTATGCATGCCGCAGAGCAAGCGGGAGACAGGAGCTATCGAGCGAAACGGAGGGGGTCTCTCACTGAACTGCCGCTTCACCTCCCTTCATGCTGTCGATAGAGTCTGACTAATTCACTCGCCTTATCAGAACCTTCCTCCAAATCAAGTGTAGAATTTAGTACATCAGAGTTACCATTATATGTGAGTAGTTCTCTTTTCTCCCAGTATACCGAAAAGAGAATCCAAGTGGAAGTGAAAATCTGTATTTAGGGCATAAATAACCTAATGTCAGCAACCTGTTGTGTGGCCCCATAAATGCTTAGCGATTTCAAATGCCACGGAACCTGAACAGGGTTCCAGGGGCAGAGAAGAGCCTTCCTTCCTGGGTTGTGTTACTCTGTGTCAGGACTAAGGAAGGGTGGTTCCACTGATGGCTTGTCCAGATACAGGAATCACTGCGATCTGAAGTCGTTTATCTTTTGCTGAAATGTGCCAGGTATCATTAACCCCATCGAAGCCAAGCAGAGAAAGGGAAAAGGTGCCGTGGGAGCTTATGGCTCAGAGCGGACCCCTCAGTCCCTGCAAGACTTCCCCGTGGTTGACTCCGAAGAAGAAGCTGAAGAGGTAAGTGGAAGCCGGGAATCCCGGCGGGCGGTGCCTGCCGTTTCTGACCGTGGTTAGTTCGTGCGTTCGCCCACTCGTCCCGTCGGTGCCCCGGTGTCTGTGGCGCAGCTGTGCGTCGGGCTGTACCGCGGGGAGCGGCTTGGTGTTGCGCTGCTCCGGCCACAGAAGGGGCCGGCTCTCCCGACCGAGATGCTCTCTCCCCCTTTGCGTTTACGAGGGAAAGCAGGAGGCTGCAGAGACACACGTTGTCACTGTACTTGTCACCGAGCCTGTCCTTCTGCCGAGGCAGCAGGTGTCTGATCGTGTAGCGACGACCGCTCGGAGTCAGGGGCCCTGGGGCCGCAGGGAGCAGGCACGCGGCAGACGGGAGTGGGTGAGCCAGGTGTGAGGGCCCGAGGCGAACAGGCGAGGGCTGGGCTGTCCGATCGGGTGGTTTCTGTGCGGCTCCGGGCGGCTGTTGCTATAAATGTGGGCCCAGCAGTGCTTGATCTTCAGATCTGCCTGAAGTAGAAGCCCAGATTTTTTTTAAGGAAAAAAAGAGTACGAGTTTTAACCCAGTGTGAGGAAAACAGAAGGACAAGCACAAAACCCACTTCTGTGGGCTGGACTCCTATTGCCCTCAGACCGAGTTTCCTTCTCTGCAGCAGATCTTCCTACAGAAGTTTTGCAAACCCTGATTACAAAAGGTTTCTCTGCCTTAAGACTCAGGGCCCTGCTTATCTACCTTCATTTTAAATCAAAACCAAGGTTTTGTGTACTTAAAAAAATACTTTGTATTGTTTTCTAAGTTTTGCAGGAGGTGAATTTAGAACTAGCGTAGTGCCCGCCCATAGTAGATGCTCCGTAAGTGTGGCCTTTGTCTGGGTGATTCTCTTTCCAGTCTGGAGTACCTGCTTTCGGAACCTTCTCATTTCTAAGAGGGGCTGGGTGTTGGGGGGATCTCAGGAGATGGTTTCAGTATCACACAGGCACACTGCTTAGCACAGAACCTGCTGTAAATCTAAGACCACACCTAGTGAAGTTCTGTGAATGGTCTCCGTGACCCCACTTGCTGTAAAAAGCAGCCTTTCTTGTTTCACTGACCACCTCCCTCTGCTTCAGGAGTTTCAGAAGGAGCTGAGCCAGTGGAGGAAAGACCCCAGTGGAAGCAAGAAGAAGCCCAAATACTCATATAAGACAGTAGAAGAGTTGAAGGCCAAGGGCAGGATTAGCAAGAAGCTTGCTGCCCCGCAGAAGGAGCTTTCTCAGGTCAAGGTAAGGGGGCCTTGGTTCTGGTCTGGGATGGACCCTGGGAAACACAAGTAATGCACGCCCAAGTCAGGTCAATCACTGAACATTCCTTCGGGTCATGTCGGGTCTTCTGTCTCGGTTTTTCTCTGTGTTTTTTTACTGGGCAGTAGCGTGCTCCCATTCCCTGCACTTGCATGTCCAGGGAGAGCTGTCGCGATCCGAGGGCTGGGCGCTCCTCATGGCACACCCATGGTGCGGGAGACAGCGGCCCCTTCTTCCCAAAGCGACAGACCGTGAACTTAACATTTCCATGATTAAAAACGCAGTGTGAAGATGGTTTTTAGTGAGTGTGTAATTCCAGAGAATGAAGTACTAGAATATTTGGTCCTACTTGTGTGGCTAGACCTTTAGCTGTTTTCAGGTTTGGTTTGGGGCTGGCTAGTGTGTATGTGAAGCCTTGTCTTTGTTTCAGACATTTTCTAAGGATAGATTCTTAGAAGTACAATCAGCGGATTGAAAATTGGAAGCTTTTTAAGGCTTTTGAATACTGGGAAAGGGTGCACTAACTCAGCCTGTGACGAGGAGTGCAGGAGAGTGTCCTCAGGGCATACCAGCATGGAGTGTTTCCCGTTTTAAGAGTTGATTAAATTTTCAACTGCCCTTACGTGCATATAGTCCTGGGTTTTCTGCCACTCCCCCGAGTAGCCAGAGAACCACAGTGACAGTTGTCTGTTGCAGTTTGGCGTGGGAGTGTGTGTATTTTGTGTGTGTGTTTTGTGCATCAGATTCCTGGCGGGGAGGACCAATAAGCCATGAAGCTGCGCAGGTCCTAGCCAGAGATTTGGAGTTAGGAGATGCAGGCAGGGCCTGAGAAGTTCCGTGTTTGTCTTTGTCCAGCTGATTCTAACGCACGTGGCCTTGGGCGACATGCTTACTTCCCGTGCGGATGGATGGCTGTGTCTCAGTACGCTGTATGTTCCAGTTTCCTCCGTTTTCTTGAAATGCTCATTTCCTAACGTGTCCTTGTCCAGTCACTGTTTTCTTGTGTTTCATTTTGTTTTTAAATCAAAAAACAAATTATAGAGCAGTGTGTGGTACCATTTAGGGAAGTAGGAAACACAGAGGCAAAAATACTCTTTTCCTTCCTTTCCCATAGATGACTAGTTTAACACCTTGATGCACGTCCTTCTAGATCTTTTTTCTTTGCCTGAATATACATTTTTTATGCCACAATGTGATAGTCTGATCGCTTATGCCGTTTTAGTGCCGGCTTCGGTCAGTGCAGCCGCTCCTTGGCCGTAGAACTAGGTTTTCTTCTCAGCTAAGTAGTCTGTGCTCCGAGGGACCAGTCTGGACGTGCTGGCTGTGTCCGGTGGTCCCCCCCCATCCCCCTCGGAGGCGCGCGCTGACCCGCTGCCTCCACGCGCTCCCAGGTCATCGACATGACGGGCCGGGAGCAGAAGGTCTACTACAGCTACAGCCAGATCAGCCACAAGCACAGCGTCCCCGACGACGGGCTGCCGCCGCAGGCCCAGCAGCCACCCCAGCCCGGCAAAGAGGCCAAGGCGCCGGGCTTCGCGCTGCCCGAGCTGGAGCACAACCTGCAGCTGCTCATCGACCTCACGGAGCAGGAGATCATCCAGAGCGACCGGCAGCTGCAGTACGAGCGGGACATGGTGGTCAACCTGTCGCATGAGCTGGACAAGATGTCGGAGGTCCTGGAGCATGAGGAGCGGGTCATCGCGAACCTCAGCAAGGTCCTGGAGATGGTGGAGGAGTGCGAGCGGCGCCTGCAGCCCGGCTGCAGCGACCCCCTCACCCTGGACGAGTGCGCCCGCGTCTTCGAGACCCTGCAAGACAAGTACTACGAGGAGTACAGGATGTCCGACCGCGTGGACCTCGCTGTGGCCATTGTCTACCCGCTCATGAAGGAGTACTTCAGGGAGTGGGACCCGCTGAAGGTGAGTGGCTGGCGAGAGGAGCCCCTCCGCTCCTGCCCGGGGTGCAGGGGTGAGGCTGCGCGGGGCAGGGCGGCTGCGTCACGGCCATGTCTCTCCACAGGACTGCGCGTACGGCACTGAGGTCATCTCCAAGTGGAAGAGCCTCCTGGAGAACGACCAGCTCTTATCCCACGGTGGGCAGGACCTGTCGGCAGATGCCTTTCACAGGTACTGCGCGGGGACCGGGAGGAAGATGCTGCTAGGGAGGACGGGGACCGGCCCTGCTCTGGGGCTTTCCGTTCACTCACCCACCCTGCACCCGTCAGTGTCACGCACAGGCTGGGCGCCGGGCTTGCCCTGGGAGTAAGGCAGAGAGCCTGTCTGCAGCGAGGGGAAAGGGCAGGTGGAGGGGAGAGAAGCGGACAGACAAGGCCAGGGATGGAGGACAGAAAGGACACGCCCCCGTTTGGGGTGGCGGGAGTAGTTGGCAGCAGAGGTCTCGGACAGGAGGTGCCATTTGAGCTGTGGCCCTTGAGGTGAGTCATCAGCTGCGCACAGAGCTCCAGCGGGAAGGCAGGCCGTCCCTGGAGAGGGGACCCTTGTGACCCCACAGCAACCCTCCTGGGCAGGCGGGTCCTGGCAGGGGGCCCCAGGCCCTGCGGATGAGCAGGCAGCTGGGCGAGCAGGGATGAGGCAGGTGCAGGTCTGGCCGGTGTGGGGACTGGCCCGGTGGTTTGCTGTTTGCGTTTCCACGCCTTTTTCTTTCTTATTCCGGAAAGCTGGTGGTGGTGTACTCAGTCTGCTTTGAAACCTATCTGTGCAGTTAGCCTGCCCTCTGCCTCTCTCCCACAGGCTGATATGGGAAGTCTGGATGCCTTTCGTTCGAAATATCGTCACCCAGTGGCAGCCAAGGAATTGTGACCCGATGGTGGACTTTTTGGACAGCTGGGTGCACATTATTCCCGTGTGGATCTTAGATAACATCCTGGACCAGCTTATCTTCCCCAAGCTGCAGAAGGAGGTAGGGCCCTGAGTCGTGGGGGACAGCCGGCAGCAGTAACCAGGGGCCCTTCTCCACTCTCAGTACCGTCAGAAGGCCTGGAATGAACAGAATCTGCTGACAGTTACCATCCTAGGGGTAACTCCAGCCCTTCTGTCGGCACCTTCCCCCCAGAGCCTCCCTATTTAAGTAGGGAATTCATTTTCTTGGTTTTTCTAATGCAAACAGAATCTGTGCTATTTCGGAGATTCCGTGCAGTTGCCCGGGGATATTAGTTTGGTTGTGCAGAGGCCTCTGGGCCTTCGTGCCTTTGGCCACACGGTGCATCTGGAACTGCTGCTTTGTCCCACGCCTTCTGCAGGTGGAAAACTGGAACCCGCTGACAGACACTGTGCCTATCCACTCCTGGGTCCACCCGTGGCTGCCCCTCATGCAAGCGCGCCTGGAGCCCCTCTACTCCCCCATCCGCAGCAAGCTGTCCAGCGCCCTGCAGAAGTGGCACCCCAGCGACTCATCCGCCAAGCTCATCCTGCAGCCCTGGAAAGACGTGTTCACCCCAGGCTCCTGGGAAGCGTTCATGGTCAAGAACATAGTACCCAAGCTGGGTGAGGAAATGGGGAAAGGGCATTAGGTCCATCAGCTTTGGTGCGCTGGTTTCTCTGGCCAGCGGTAAGGATTCGTGCTTCTTGAAACACGGGCTTGGAGCTCCACGAGAAAGCCAAAGACGCGGTATTGCTCGCCCCAGGAGTGCTGTTTGCGCTCAGAGGTGGAACATGAATGTACCCGGGGTTCTGATGGCGTCGGCGGCCTCAGACTCTGCAACCCCTCCTGGTTCCTAATTGGTCTGGTTTGGGCTTCTGGTAACATGCGAGGCACTGGTGTTCTGAGATTTTTGTGGTATTTGATTTTAAGTACATGTTAGTTATTTCTGGGTTATAGAAGAAAAGGTTTTTAAGAATTGCCACGTCAAGAGCTTAAAATTGATGGATAAAAGCAGATTTTTAGGCCAGTGTTGTCCAGTGAGGATTTTGCTCTGTGCTTCTGTGACTTTGCCTTAAAGCCTGGGCTGCTTTTGCAGGGATGTGTCTCGGGGAGTTGGTCATTAACCCCCACCAGCAGCACATGGATGCTTTTTACTGGGTCATCGACTGGGAAGGAATGATCTCTGTGTCCAGCCTGGTGGGGCTGCTCGAGAAACACTTCTTCCCTAAGTGGCTTCAGGTACACCCTCCTTTGCTAACTTTGGGGGGCGGGGTGGGATGGAGGCAGGGAGGATTACACTTAATTTTCTGCCCACGTCTGTCTGACTGTAGGAGCTTGATCCCTGGACAGTTGTCAGGTTGTGCTATCACCCAGAACAAAACTGAGCAGTAATCCCAGCAACCACCACTTGTGAACATACGCCATGTGCCAGATGCTAAGCAGCTCTTGCGCGTTCCCCCCACTCCTCACACCACACCTTTAGGGTGCGGGTGGGGGGAACTGTCGTAGCCCTGTTGTTTAGAGACCGAGGTTCAGGGAGTTTACGTTTAGGAGTGCGTAGCTGCCAAGCTGACTCCAAATTCTACATTCTGAATGCTTCTGTTCGGCCCCTGTAAACCCCTACGAGTGTGACCAGCTTATAGGACCACGATCAAAACAAAACAAACGGCCCCTTGGGAAGTTTTGCTCCCATTCGCCCCCATTGTGGATGCAAGTTTCCGATTTCTTTTTGGCAGGTGCTATGCTCTTGGCTCAGTAACAGCCCGAATTATGAGGAGATCACCAAGTGGTACCTGGGTTGGAAGTCCATGTTCTCAGACCAAGTGCTGGCACACCCATCTGTCAAGGACAAATTTAACGAAGCACTTGACATCATGAACAGGGCAGTGTCCTCCAACGTTGGTGAGTAGGGATTCCGCCTCTTTGGATGTCCTGGTCCTGAGCGCCGCATTTCTGAACACGTAAATGACACAGAAGCAAGAGTTTCCGGGTGCCTGTGGGCTGTCTGCTCCAACACGACTCTACCCCACCAGACCCCCTGCCCAGCTCTGCCGGCACTGGGAGGGGCATAGGGCCCTGAGTCTGACTGTAGCCGGATTCACACTAGGGGGGAGCCTGCCTCTAGGGCCCCCTTCCAGGCTCGTTGGCACACCTGTGAGGAGCTCAGTGAGCTATGTGAGTGGAACAGCTCGCCACACAGAGCCGGGGTACAGCCTGACCCCTAGCAGTTGCCTCTCCTCGCCTGGCCTATTTTATTTACTTGTGAAACAGTCATAGTGCCTACTTCTAGATGTTCTTAAAAACCTAGAGGGGTGAACTGAGCCACAGTCTGGAGACCGCTTTGCAAGTGGTGTCTTTGTTGTCTCAGAAGTAGGCAGGTGACTGTCCCCGTAATACCCATCCCCAGCTTCTGACCAGGTGAGTCACTGCCTGGGTCAGTGTGCTTGCATCGCAACACAAAGGCCACTGTGGTACCCAGGCCAGCCCTGCTTCACAGAGAAGCTCCACAAGGCCGAGAGCTAGTTCAAGGTCACATAGCGAGAATAGCAGGTGGGACTGTAATTTCTGTTTCCTGAACCTTTAGTCCTTTGAGCCTATTACATGAAGAGAGAGTTCAGAGAGTATATATTCTGTTGAACGGGGCAGATAGACTTCTCCGCTCTCTCTCATCTGGGCCCCTCAGTGGGCCATCCCCATTTTCATACTCTCTAGAAACTCTCCCTCGGCTGCCCCGGCCCCACGCCGCCTCCTAGAGCTGTTCCCATCTGTTTCCCTCAGCACTGGACACTTGTGGCCCTGTATTGTCCTTCAGCATCTATCTGAGCTCCCCAAATGCATTCTAATATCTTCCAGGGCTGGGGCCTCTATTGGAGAAGCTAAAAATAGAACTAGGCTAGGCCGTGTGTTGTCAAGGGTTCCAGTCCTGGAAGGATCAGTCTCTTGCAGTAATTCCTGTGAATCATTTCTCTGGTTACTACCATTAGCCAGAAACCTTCAGACTAATTTTTGTACGAAAGCAGGAGTGGTCTGAACTTGCCGAAGCTACTTGCCATCTGCCTTCGTGCTTTGTGTCTGAGGCCCAGCTGCCCCTCGCTGAGTCACAAGTGGGGTTGGCCAAATCCGTGTGCGTTTCTGTGCGGTTGGAACCCCTCTCCTCACCCCCCGCCCTTCTGGCTCTCCCAGGTGCCTACATGCAGCCCGGAGCGCGGGAGAACATAGCCTACCTCACGCACACGGAGCGGAGGAAGGACTTCCAGTACGAGGCCATGCAGGAGCGACGGGAGGCTGAGAACATGGCCCAGAGGGGCATCGGCGTGGCTGCCAGCTCCGTGCCCATGAACTTTAAGGACCTCATTGAGACCAAGGCTGAGGAGCACAACATCGTGTTCATGCCGGTCATCGGGAAGCGACACGAAGGGAAGCAGCTCTACACCTTTGGCCGCATCGTCATCTACATCGACCGGGGAGTGGTGTTCGTCCAGGGCGAGAAGACCTGGGTGCCCACCTCCCTGCAGAGCCTGATTGACATGGCCAAGTAGAGGGGGCAGGCTGGACCTTGCACCAGAGAGGGGACATGCTCATGAATAAATAGTATTTTAAACTGCCTTAGAAAGAGTAGTTACTCTCCACCCTGGAGATATTCCCGGTCAGGTCGCCAAGAAAGGACATGAAACGTACGGCTACAGAGAGGTGCATCAGTCTTCATACTGAGCCCTTCCACAGCACCCTCCGTGGCCACCCTCCTGGTCATCTCTGGTGGCAGCTGCTTCTGCCTCAGCCAGCAGCCAGCACGTCACAGCGAGTTTACGTCAGCAGCTGAAGGAGCTCTTGTCTTGTTCCTGATGATTTCAAGGTCCTCGCAGTCCTCATAGTCTGGCTCTTCCCGAAATGCCCACGTATCCGTGGGCAGTTGTTGTAGCTTCTGTACGGGGAACCAGTGGATGGAGGTATCGTTAAATATGTCCGTGTACTGCGAAGTCTCAGGCAGCTTACGCTCCTCCAGTCCTTCTAAAATCTAAGCAGGAAAGTTCAAGTGTAAATACACAACCCTGACAGTCACAGTAAACCCCACACTAATGGGTGCCATTTATTGGGCACCCCCAGATTACCCTTTTTAAAAAAAGAAAATAAGGACTAGGATATGTTGATTTAGTGCTTCTGTGATGAACTGGAAACTCCAAGGGCGGTGAGTATGTGGGACTGATACCGAGAATGAAGGACAGGTCCTTGCTTCCTGGAACACAGAGCTATCGAGAAAGCTCGTGGACTACAGTAACTTCCCCCTGCCCTCAGTGAGCCCCTCATGAGCTTCCTCCCAAACATGTAAGGCAGAATTCACAGTAACGGGGAAATGGTCTGGTTTCACACCCTTTTCCATCCCAGCCCCTTCGTTTACACAGATACCTTTGCAATGTAGGAATAATTTTTCTGTAGAATCCTGGCCGGCAACCTAGAAATTAAAAAAACAAACAACAAGCCCAGCGTGATTAGGAGGTATGGGAGGGTTTTATCTAACTTAAGACATTGCAGAAATGCAAAGTAGTTTAAAGACAGCAAACATTTTAAAAAGGGGGAACGTGCAGTGGGTTCAGTAATCCGTAGAAAACGTGAATGCCCCATCACCACCCCTTCTGCCAAGGGAGGAGTGACGGCGGACACCTAAGGTGTGTGCAGCTGAGAGCAAATGGTTTCCCCCACTTTTAGAAAACACTTGTACGTCCTAAGGGAAGGGAGGAATTCTTGGCAAACAGGTCTTAACTCTGCAGCTTGACTGGGGGCTGGTGTCCCCGTCTAACCCTGTCCGCTTTCCTATGGACCAGCGTCTCCTGCGTGTGGGTCTGTCGGGAAGGCCCCCGCCCCGGCCTGGCGGGACCTCTGCACGCCCAGGCTCACCTTTCCTCGAGTCCTCTGAAGCTGTTCCCGATGATGAGCATCTTGGCGAGGGCGTCTACTGACCAGTTTCCCCACAGAAGGTTGTTGTATAGAGCTGTGCCGCAGTGGGGCATGTAGAAGACAGTGGGCTCGCTGCCGACGCTCCGTCTGCCTTCCTGCGGGGATGGCCGCGTGGTGAGAGCCACAGCGCGAGCCCCTCCGCTCCTCCTGGGAGGTGGGCATGGGGGGACACATCCGGGAGGGGCGGAGGAGCCCTCTCACCACGAAGTGATCACCGTGTACTGATGTGAGGGGCCCACGCTAGCCACCCTTACTGTGCGCAGTTCAGAACGTGTAGCGGGTCACGCCGCACGCCTTAAGACTTCCACGGACTCCTGCGTCCCTTATAGCAGCCCCTCTGCAGGAAACCAGCAGCTGTGAGGGAGGCACGCTGACACCATGTGGAAACAAAGCCCTTCCTTCGCCAACAGTTAGGTTATAACGTGGCCTGAAATTCACAGATGATGTGGGCCCCAAAGTCGGGAAATGGTGAGGTCCAGAAAGAACTTGTGTTTACTGAACAGATGTGGGCCCCACGAACACAGGAAGCTCTGCTTCAGCAGAGGGGCTTCTTGGTTCCGAGATAGCAAGGGCAGGAGGGGTGGCCACGGTTACTGTCCCCATGGACTGTGCTTGGTCAGCCTCCGGGCCGCCTGGGTCCCTTTCTGCAGACGCCTATCACGGTCAGTCCCTTCCAAATGTCCCCTGGGGGACACAACGGCCCCTCCTGAGGACCGCGGCTCCACAGCCAGGCCCGCAGCAGGGACGCAGGCCCTGCCTCCCCTGGGCCTCTCCGCTCTGCACGCTCCTCCCTTCTGTTCACCACAAACAGGCAGGAGCCAGCCTGGGTCCATCCAGCCAACTCCTAGTGGGCCTACAATCCTAGCGCTGACCCAGAAAACCTTCCTCCAGCCCCTCAAACGGCGCGGAGTGCCTTCCCCTCTCTGTTCCGCTCACCACGTACTTGTTGACAGGCCACACGCCCTGATGGGAACCTGGGCCCCTGGACACTGGGACTGCATCTATCTTGGCCTCCCGCCAAAGTCCTTGCCCCGCACAGAGCAGGCACTCAGGAAAGATGACGTGAGTGGAGGGGCAGGGTTTCATGGCCCCGCCAACATTGGTGAAGGATTCTCTTCTCTCAGCGGGGCCTGATTTTCAGATTTCACAATAATGACTTGGCCATTTTCGAACACGGACAGGGATCAAATGATCATTCTGTAACCCCCCCAGCAAAGCAAAGCGGCTTGCAGCGGTGTGTCCCTCCACTGGCTTCAGGCCCCTGCTGGTGAGATGATCTTGTTCCGGGTCTCACAATTTCACCCCAGGGCGCACGATCTACCCACAGCTCACAGCCAGATGCTATGGGTGTGACTGGGCTACTGTGCAAAGAGAGATGTTCTGTCCCCTTCTATGACCTCCCCTAGCACAGGGTAAATCCCAACCAGAAGGAGGCCATGTGAGGCACCGAGACTGCGTACCCCTTTATTTTTTAACACCAACAGTAAGTACCAACTTAGGAAATTACCAGAGGATCCTGGACACGGGATTCTCACCAGAATTTTGCAACTGTAACAGGTATCAGGCCACGCCATTTGTTTTGTTTTTTTTTGTGACGGGCACCACCTAGGCCGCAATGTGGAGCACTGACGGGTCCCGTGACAGGCGCCGGGAAGGCAAGTGGGCAGTGGGAGGGAACGACGGCTACTGCAGAGCAGGTGCGTCCATGGGGCACAGCCTGGGGTCCCCCTCAGTCAGCAGGCACACGGCCCTCCCGTTCCCCTGCCCCAAGCCACTCACCTCGTTCTCGCTGAGAACAGTCACACCGAGCGTATTCAGAACCGCGATTTCTAGTTGGCTAAACAGAGGGTTGTACACCTAGCAGTGGCTTCTGGGAATCTGCAGAAGGGAAGAATGAGTTCTATCAACCCAAAGATCTGTGTGCAGACCGTGTGCAAGACCTACGGGGAACTGATCAAGAAGAATACAAAAATGTACCTGGCACTTTTCCAGGAAGAGAAGCAAAAACGTGAGCTGGTGTCTAGCTATGACGCAGGTGGCAAAGTTCCCAATGCCGTAACATACACACTTCAAGCGGCAGGTTCCCGGGACCGGGGACTCCCCTGGGATGGAGCCGGGAGTCACAGCAGGCTCATCTGGCGAGGAGTCAAGATGCAGGTTTCCAAGGGCTTCCGGAAGAGTCCCCTCAGGGGCCTTCAGTTGTTCCAGATGTTTTGTAAGACAGCCGTTGATGGTTTCTGAAAGAGCAGGCCCCCGGAACACAGTCAGAAGGCGTGCTCTGACCCAGTGAACCGGATCCGTCACCGAAGTCCACAGACCCAGGGAGAAAAGGGACAAGTTGGGAAAGGCTTCAGCTCCTCAGGGAGAAGGTCGCGGGCCTCACTCCCAAACATGCCTGGGAGGTACGGCCAGGCCCACGAGCACCACAGGCTGTCCCGGGTCCCTGCATGCCCCCCCACCCCACACCTGCAACCCCTGAGAATGTTCCAGCAAAAAAAATAGGCTTCATTTATGGGCACAGTTTCCACCCAGAACTGTAATGTGAACTGTGTCTAATTTAGTAGGAGGTACCTGGTAAATGTGGGGTATGCTCTGAAGTACCTACTTTTTGATTATAACAAAGAACAGAGGAACAGCTCTCAAAATCACACTATAAACGGCTGGGGATAGGAATATTTCATGTCAAAAGTTCAAAGAAAAAAAGGCTGGGGCTCTTGGAGTCTAACAAAATACACTCGTTTAAATCTTCTCACACGGCAGTGGGTTCTTCTTATCTCTCATTTTATTACACTGGCACTGAATTTATTTGAACAAATCTGTACACAAAACAAAAAGCAAAGGGCCATACGTTCCCACAGTAAGACACCGATTTTCCCTTGCTGCAAAGCTATCTTGAAATAAGATAGCATGGAAAGGCTGTATGCAGAACTGGCTCTTTCAGTCCTTGCTGCTGAAAGTCCTGGTGGAAGCTTTTTGGGAGAAACTTGACAGCAGATATCAAGCTGGTCACTGCCTGTCACTGAAGAAGTCCACTTCTGGGAATATGTCCCGAGAGGATAATCATCCTGTATTTGGTAAGAGCTTTACGCATAAAGGTGCTCACCAAACAGTTACGTGTAAGAACTAAAAAAACAAAGGAAACAAACTAAATGTCCCTCAATAAAAATTCTAACTGCTGTCCGTTCCCTCCCGTATTAACATTTATGTTGCCACAGACTATTTAGGAAGAGGTTACAACTGCATGGGGAGAAACAGGTCTACGTGGCAATGTTGAGGCAAAGAGCACAGCAAGAAGAGATATCAACAATGACAATGGCAGTGGATGTTGACAGCCTCCCGTGCCCAGGCAAGCACTGTCCTGAGCACTTCACCAAACAGCCTCTTTTAATCCTCAAAATTACACCACAGATGTGGCGCACGCTGTCACCTCCCTTTCACAGATACAGAAACTGAGGCTCAGGGCTAGTAAGTGCCAAGACACACGGCTGTGAGCAGGAAGTCAGAATTAGAACCCAGCTCTGTGAACAAAAATCTCACCAAATATGGACTGGACTCCTTTCTTCGCCCACATTCAGGCCCTCCTCCCACACCCTCCACCCAGCCCTGGCCTCTGGTACCCACCTAGTGCCAGACTCCAGAAATCAGACAGAAGC